AATTTTAATTAATTATAAATAAATTAATAATGCCACATTTTATTATTTTTTTTATTATTTTTTTTATTTTCTTTACAAGAGAAATTTGTGACATTGCTTGTCCTCTTGAGAATAAAAAAAAAAGAATATAAAAAAAAAAGAATGTTGTCGTCATTTCCAAAAATATAAACAATCGCGTTAAAATGTATGAATTTGTGATGGATTGTAATTTTTCCAATTCACATAAAGCTCCACCACTGTGCCTCATTGTGCGTAAAAATTTTTTGAAAAAATAAAAAAAAAAAAAGTATTTTTTTACCAGCTCGCACCCTTTTTCTGAAAATTTTTTTTTTTCCGTTTTTTTACAGTGCGGATAAAAATATCACATTATTTTTCATTTTTTTTTTTTCCGCAATCCACAAGTTAAAATAAGATTTTTTTTTTTTTTCTTTAAACAAACAATTTTTTTTTGAAATTGTGTTACCTCACTTATTAAATAAAAAATTTTTTTTCTTTGGGTCCACAAAAACTAAAAATAGTGAGTCGTTTTATTTTCCAACTAATAACAATAAAATTAATTTTATTTTTATTTTTTTCTTTTTTTTAATATTTTTCAACTTTTCTAATGAGCATATAAAAAGTCATCGTAAATCATTTTTATTTTTTTATAATCAACAAAAGCAAAGTTGGAGTAGTAAAAAAAATTCAAATAATTATTATTAATATTTTTTATCATTATCATTATCATTATAATAATAACTTCAATTTTATTTGTATAATTATTATCTTGTGAATTTTCATTAACCATCTTAAAACACATTTTTGTTAAAAATATATTTTTTATTTCCTCCATATAAAAAATTTTTTGCCCCATTTAAAATTTTTTTTTAAATCTCAAACTTATCAGCTGTGAAATTAAAGAGTGTTTTTTTCTCTCATTATAATATTTTTAAAAAACACAAAAAAAATAAACACTGATCCAAAATTTTTTTTTTTTCTCAATTAATATCATTAATTAATTTTTAATCATTAAAAAAAAAAAAAAGTATAAATAAATCTATAAAAATTAAAATTATATTTTTTTTTTAACCACCAAAGTATAAATATAAATAAAAATGGATAGAAAAGAAAATTTAATAATACAAAATGTAAATATTTATTTATAAAAATATAAACAAAAAAAATATTTACTAACTTTTTTTTTTTTTCTTTTTTTAAAATTTTTTTTTTTTTCTTTATTTTATTTTTTCCGAATTTTATAAAATAGATAAGAAATAAAAGTGGGAGTATAGGAAACGCCAGTTCCCATAGTAATAACAACTCTCCAAGATTAAATGAGTCAGTTGAATCTTTTGATCAAAGTGTTAAAAAGATTAAATTAAATGATATAGAAGAAAGCGACCAGTCCGATTCTGATGTTAAAACTGCAGTTACAGACTCCTCTTCATCATCACCAATTCAAAGTGATAATGAAGAAATTTTTGAAAATAAAAATAATAATAATAATAATGATTCTACAAATACTTTAAATAATAATACAAATAGTAATAATATTTTTTTATAATCAATCAATTGAAAACAATGTTGATACACCATCAATAATAACAAATGATAATAATAAAATAAATGATAATAGTTGTAAAGATGATTTAATATCAACCAATATAGATGATGAAAACAATAATCATAATAAAGGTGACAACAATAATAACGAAACCTTAGGAAGGGATGAAATCGAATTATCAAATTTATCAATAGAAAAAGAACAACATGAATTAGAGAAAAAATTAAAAAAAGAAATGGATGCAAGAAGAAAAGGCTTACCATTCTTTAGACATTTGTTTGAGGTTTGTGCTGATTACGGCCAAAGTTTATTGGTTGCTTTGGTTGGTTGCATTCTTTGTATTTTAATTTCTACTGCATATGCAGATCCATCCTGGATTCGTCGTAATAACGGTACCGTAAATTATTTTTATACCGAAGATTATACTGTTTTGGTTTCAACTTTCTTTGTTATTGGTCTAGCTATTTTTACATTAATTCAATTCCTTTCGGTTTATGGCATGAAGAGAATGGTTGAAACTCATTTCTATGCCTGGGTAATTGGTGCTATAGCTCTTTTCCTTGTTGTTCCATGGGGCTTTGAACTTGGTAGTGAAGCTTGGTATTATTGGTTAGGTGATATTATTTTATTAATCGTTGGCTATACTGGTTTATGCTTTGTAATGGGTTATGTTGGTAAGAGATATCAAACTACAAAAGAAAGAAGATGGAACGGTTTCAAGTTTTTAACCACCGAAATTTTAGTATCTGCCACTGCCCTAGTATATGGTATGTTTTTAATTCAGCTTTATACCAATTTCTCAAACTATGCAAAGATGGCTTGGCGTTTATTAGTACATCCAGTTTACTTTGAGTGCTTTATGATGATTCCAGTACGTATGCTTGTAACCAATCAATTGGAGAAGAAAGGTGGTTCATCCATTATGTCCACATTGGCCGTAGTACACGCTCAAGCACATATTTCAACCTTGGGTCGTATGATGATTTCTACCATCAACGAAATTGAATTTACCGTTATCTCTGTTTTGCTTTTAAATCTCGGTAAAATGGTTTTTAGAAGCACTGTTCAATTACGTGATGAAACTGCAAATAAGATAGCTCTCAAATTATTTAATGTTAAAGTTACAGAAAAAGACTCAAAAGGTTTTGTTAGAGCCATTGGTATTTATACAGAAATGATTATGGAAAATGCTTCAATTCCAGCTTCAGCTTATACTATGTGGGCTTTCTATAAAGTTAGAGGTATGTTTTTCTTCCCATATCCAGATTCTGGTGAATTTACTCTCGCTGAAGCTACTATCAATGTTGTCATCCAATTAAGTATCGCTTTTGTTTTCGATGCCATCACATTGTTTATAAACGAACGTTATTTTGGTTACCCATTGGAAAGAGCTTGGAAAAAGATGAAACAACACTGGCTCCCATTCTTTGGTTTCTTATTATATGGTTTAATGACTATGGGTATGGTCGGTATTATTTGGATGGCTTGCAAGGTACCAAGATTTGTTACTTGTTCATCATATGATGTTTGCTCTTGTAAATTTGTGGATAATTGCCAAGATTTTATAGCAACAAAATTATCATAATATAATAGTAATAATATAATATAATATATAAAAACAATAATAGTTTTAAATAAGTAATAATAGATAGTATTCTTAAAAATTGTAAAATTATAAATCATTATACAAATAAGTATTTTTTTAACCAAATAATCATTGTCATCATAAAATACTATTGAAAAAGTCAATTCCTTATCAATAGTACACCATAAAATATTTCAAAAAATATAAATCAAATAATAAATATTTTTAAAAGTAAATATAATAGTTTTTTTAATATATTACTTTATTTACTATAAAAATAAATTTTTATAAAATATAAAAATATCTTTTTTTTTTTTTATTATTTTTATTATATTTATTATTATTTATTTTTTTATTAATTTCATTGTTTAGATATATTTATTATATTATTTGATTTTCTTAAGATCTAATAATGTAAATTAATAAATTTGTAAAAAAATTAATTTATTTACTTGAAGATTGTTTTTATTACATTTAAAATAAATAAAGAACTTTGGGTTATATCAATATATCTATGTTACCCATTTATTATCTAAGTTTATATTAGTGTTCTAAAGCATGTGCCCCCCAATCTTATGTCCATTCTAAACTATAAAATATTGTAAAATATAATGAGTGTTTAATATTTAAAAGATCAAAATGTTCTGTTTTCTAATTATTTATCTGAAAACTAATATCCTTATTTCTGATTCCTTTTTTAAATTATTTATCTGTTTCTTATGGGAGATTTTTATTAAAAAGTTTAAAAATATATTTTTTTTTATTATTTTTTATTTTTTTTTACTAAATAAATAAAATATAAATATATAAAAGATTTAAATATAAAATTTTAAATTGTATATTATTGATCTTTAAAAAAAATATGGGATTTTGTAATGTAAATACTAAAAAATTCATCTATAAGATTTTTTTTTTATTTTTTTTTTTTTAATTATTTTTTTTTTAAAATTTAAATCATTATTTTCTTCTTGAAATTAATAATTATTTTAGTATAAAAACTTTAAAATATAAAAAGAAATATTTGATTAATAATTTTTTAAAGATTATAAAAATTAATAAATAAAAAAACTTTTTAAAAAATGAAAATTGTATTTTATTGTTATGGAACTAGAGGAGACATACAGGTATATATTTTTAGAGATATTTATAATAATACAGATTAAATAGTTTTATTAATTTATTCTTGTTTTTTTTATTTTTTTTATTTTTTTTTATATAGCCACATTTGGTTTTATCCAAAGAATTAAAAGATAAAGGTCATCAGGTTTTAATGGTTTGTGGAAAAAGATTAAAGTACCTTGTTGAACAATTTGAGTTGGATTGTGATGTCATAGAGGATGATGGATTGGATTTATTATTTTCAACAGAGCTACAAAAAAAAGATTTGGATTCTTTTTTGGATATTAGAGCAAATCTATACACAGAGAAGCCAGAGATTTTAAACCAATATTTGAAGTCTTCAGTCGGAATGGATTTAATTATACCATCTGGTTTATGTATTGCAGAAGCTATGACAGTAAGTGAAAAATTGTCAATACCATATATACCAGTATTATTACAACCTTCAAGAACTGGAGAGCTGGTTTGTTCTTTCTTTTCTAAAAGATCTTCGTTATATTTTTCGTTTTTGAATAAACTAAGCCATTCTTTATTTATTAAAGGTGTAAGCAAAGTGTATGTAAAATCTAAAGTAAATTTTAAAATAATGTTTATATTAATACTGGTATTTTATCTTTTTGAATCTAATAATTTAATAGTGAAAAAAGAAGAGTGGATAGGTGGAGAAAAGAAATTATGGGATTGGGTAGTTTGGATGAAAATTTTATTGAGGTGTTGGCACAAGATCCAAATATGTGTAATATCCACGCATATGATAAAATATTATTTCCAAAAGAATGTGTGCCTAGTGATTATCAACCTGGATGGAAAGTTGTAGGGTTTTTGTATCCACAAGAACATATAATTAAACACATACCTGATAAATTAACAAAGTTTATAAATAACTACAGCGGGGATATCGACGGTGCCACATCATTAGAGACTATTAAAAACTTTCCTATTGTTTTCGGTTTGGGTAGTATGCCAGCACCAGATAAAAAAAGAATCTTTTCGATATTAAAATATACAATCGAACAATTGGGAACTGATACAAAATGGATTATATTAAATAACTGGACAGATTGGGAAGAGAATATTGAGTGTGAAAATGTTATACAGTTGGATAATGTTGATCATGTGTGGTTATTTAAATATTGTTCAATTGCAATTCTACATGGTGGCATTGGTTCGTGTGCTGCTGTTATGAAATCTGCTATACCCTCTATTATAACCTACTTGATTTTTGACCAGCCCCAGAATGCACATAGATTAAAGGATTTAGGCACATCGATTCCCCTCAACTGCTTCTCATTAAAACAAGATGATTTGGTTAATTCAATAAAAACAATAAGAGATAATTACTCCACCTATAAAAATCGTTGTGCCGAAGTATCTAGCAGACTTGGTGAAAATTCTTTAGCTGAAACTGTAAAAATAATTGAAAATTATAATTGTTTTATTAGTAATAGTAATAAATCTTATTACAATAAATAAAAAAAATTATTAAAAATAAAAAAAAAAAAAATAAAGAAAAAAAAAAAAGAAAAAAAGAAAATTTAATTTGGTGGTTTCTTTTATTTATAGATTGGAGAGTATTTTTTTATTGGATAACTTTTTTAAAAGAAATTATTATTTTATATTAATTGGGAATTGTTTCATTTCTTTTTAATTATTTTTTTTATTACAAATAAAATTTTTATTTTAATATTATTATTGTTATTTTTTATTTATTTATATATTGTTATTTTTATTTATATTGTTATTTTTTATTTTGAAACAAAATTAAAAAAAACTTACTTTTAAAAAAAAATAGAATGAAAATTGTATTCTTTTGTTTAGGGACAAGAGGGGATTGCCAAGTAAATAGTTTACTTTAATACCTATTGGAGGAAAAATAAAAATAGTATTAATATTGAATATTTTAATTATCATTAGCCAAGTATTGTTTTGGCTAAAGAGTTAAAAGATAGGGGTCATAATGTTGTTGTTGTTATTGAAGAAAGATTAAAATATTTAGCGGATGAATATAATGTGGAGTGTGATTTGGTTGCAGGTGATAGTTATGGATTATTTTTTGGTGGTGAAACTTGTAAAGATATGGTGGAAATATCAATGAATTTAAGAACAAAGAGAGATAGTGAAAATTGGAATCATTTGAAGCAATATTATGTTTCATCGATTGGCAAAGATCTTATAGTTACAACAATTTTATGTGTGGGTGAAGCATATTCAATTCGAGAAAAGTTAGGTATACCTTTTATTACAATACATTTGTTTCCATTTTTACCATCATCTGAATATTCCGCAATTGTTACATCACCTAAAGAAAATCTAAAAATACCATTCCTAAATAAATTATCACATAAACTATTGATCCGAAGTGCTGATAAAGGGTATTAGTATAAAAAACAATAACGCTATTTTTAATTTATTAGTTAGGTACCTTTATTAATTTTTTTTTTCAGAACCGTAAAAAGACTTAACGGTTGGAGGAAAGAGTATCTAGGTTTAGGTTCTCTCGATAAAAAATCGTACTACAAAACAATATATGACCCAAATTCATTAAACATTAGTGTATTTGATCCATTGATGTTTAGAGATCAGAGAGTACCTAAAGATTACAAAGATAATTGGAAAGTGGTTGGTTTCTATTACCCACAACAAATTGATATAAAATATATACCGGATAGATTAATATCATTCTTGAAATCCTCACTAAAATATCACAGTAGCAATAGTAGTGAAAATGTTAATATCGATTCCAGTAAAAATAGGGGTAATTTTTTTGAAGAGGAGGAAGAGGAGTGTGATGTGTCATATAAAGACTTACCAATAGTTTTCGGATTGGGTAGTATACCTATATCAGATAGACAAAAGTTGGTTTCAATTTTAAAATATACAATTGAAAAATTAGGCACTGATACAAAATGGATTATATTAAATAATTGGACTGATTGGGAGGAGGATTTTGAGTGTGAAAATGTTATACAGTTGGATAATGTTGATCATTTATGGTTATTTAGATATTGCTCAATTGCAATCATACATGGTGGTATTGGTTCATGTGCTGCTGTTATGAAATCTGCCATACCATCCATTGTAACCCATTTTTATTTTGACCAACCTATTAATGCTAGAAAATTAGAAGACCTTGGTATTAGTATTTCGTTAGACTATTTTAAATTAACACAAGAGCAGTTTTTAGAATCAATTGTTAAAATTAAAAATAATTACCAAATATTTAAGAACCAATGTCTGCAAGTTGCATCCAAACTAAAATTAAATGCTTTGGATGAAACTATAAATCTAATCGAAAGTAACTATATGGACTCAAGTAGAGACCAATAAAATTATAATTTATTTATTTAAACAATTAACTATATGTGGTGGCTATTCAAATAAAAAACAAATTAAAATAAAAAAAAAATATATCCAAAATAAAAAAAATTATTTTTAAATTATTTTTTTTTTATTTTTTAATTTTTTTTTTATGATAATTTTAAAAACAATAGTTTATTTATTTATTTATTTATTTATTTATTTATTTTTTTATTTTTTTATTTATTTATTTATTTATTAATTGATTAATTGATTAGTTGATTAGTTTATTTATATTTATATATTTATTTTTATTTTTATTTATTTATTTATATTTATATTTATATATTATTTGTATATAATATTTTCAAGATATAAATGGAAAATAAAGCAAAGAGAAGATTAAGCATAGTGCAAAAATTTGAATCGCCTAAAAAAATAGTAGGTGCATGTATATATTATTATCCCATTTTTTATATTACATAGTTAAATGTATTCTTAAATTATTTTTTTTTTTAGAGGTTAAGCGAAAATTTAAATGACAGTATTTATAGCGAAAAGAATTTAAATGATCAAGACTCACATATTTTAGATATAGAAGATATAGATTTAAATGCAATGTCTGAAGATGATTATAGACAATCAAAAGAATTATTCGAAATTTTTGACTTTGATACTGATGGGTTAATATCAAAAAATGATTTAGAAATTGTATTAAATGGTTTGGGTGAAGAGAATTCACCAGAATGTAAATATACCACGTCTATGTAATAAAAATAAAAATTACACATAATAATGAAAACAGCAATAAATTTAAATATTTATAGTTTTAATGTTTATTAACTCTTTTTTTTTTTTAGTTGTAAATTTAATGTTTAGTGAAATTAATAATGATACAAAAAATCATGATTTCTTTAAAATTCAAGATGGAAAGCATATTACATATAGCCAATTTTGTATTAAATATATGAATATTAAATATTTAGATATTGAACAACACTTAAAAAGTAGTTTTGATATTTTTGAAGAAAATAATTCCGAAGGTAATCAAGGTTTTATAAAAATTGAAGAATTGGGTCAATTATTATCAAAATTAGCAGGTGATAATTTATCACAAGAGGATGTATGTAGCATTAATATATATTTTATCCTATAGTTACCACAAGGACAACTCCCCAACTTATTCTTTTTAAATTAAATATTCTTATATAGATCTCATCATTAGTTAAAGAATGTATAGATATAGAAAATAAAGAATTAATGAAAACTGATGAAGAGGAAGAGACCGAAAAGATAAAGTTTGAAACATTTTTAACAGTAATGATGAAAAAATTTAAAAAAAATATTTTACAAAGACAACCATCTGGTTTAATTTCAAAATCATCAATACCAACATTAAGAAGACAAAACAGTAACAATAATAGTAGTGATAATAATAGCATCGAGGAATTTAATAAATTAAAATCACTAGAAAATGAAAATAGCACTCTATCAATTAAAATTAAAGAATTAGAAAAATCATTAGAAATTGAAAAGAGGGCTCTAGAGAAAAAGTTAATCGAACAACAAGATCAAATTCAAATTCAAAAAGAAGAAAAAGAAAAGCTTTTAGAAATAAACCAAAGGATTGAACAGGAGAAGCATCAAATTCAATTGGAGAAGCAGGTGATTGAAAAAGAAAAACAGTTTATTATTGATGAGGACAGGAAATTAAAGCAACAAAGAGAAAGAGAGATTATTGAAAAAGAAAAGAAATTAAAGCATCTACAAGACGAACATAAGGATCAAACTGAAACACAAAATAGGTTAATTAACGAGGGATTCAAAGAGAAACAGGATCTATCCAACAAAATTCAGTCACTGAATGAAGTTATATTCAACTGAAGATAACATTGAGCAGCAAAAGCAAGCTATGCTTATCAATGACAATAAATTAAAGCAGCAGAAAGAAGAGGAAATAATGAAAAAAGAAGAGGAAATGAAACAGAAAGAATATAGATTAAAGCAGTTGGAGCAAGAGAAAAAGCAGCAGCTGGATGAAAAAAACAAACTAATAGGTTTGGAGCAGTTGGAAAAAGAGGGTCTTTCAAATAAAATTCAAAAATTAGAGGGTACTATAGAAAATCTTCACCAACAAATCGAACAACAAAAACAAACTATGATGATTAATAACTCCAAATTAAAGGAGCAGAAAGAAGCAGAGGTCAAACAAAAAGAAAACGAATTAAAGAGATTAGAAGAAGAAAAAACACTGCAATTAGAAGAACAAAAAAAGCTTATTGGTGTTGAAATTAAGGAAAAGACCAACCTTTCAAATAAGATTCAATTACTCGAGGGTACTATAGAGCAGCTTAAACAGCAAATTCATGAACAAAAGCAAACAATGGTAGTCAATGATAAGAAGATTCAACAACAAAGAGAAGAGGAGATCAAGGAAAAAGAAGATGAGTTGACGCAGCTAAAAGAAGAACAAAAACAACAATTGGAGGAACAAGAAAGATTAATTAGTGTAGAGGTTAAGGAAAAGAAAAATCTATCCAATAAGATCCAATCATTAGAGGGTACTATAGGCCAACTAAAACAACAAATCGAGCAACAAAAGCAATCAATGTTATTAAATGGCAGTATGATTGAGCAACAAAGACAAGAGGAAATTAAGAAAAAAGAAGATGAAATCAGAGAAAAAGAGTTTAAACTAAAACAACTGGAACAAGAAAAAATAAAGCAACTGGAGGAGCAAAGGGATTTAATTAATAGTGAAATTAAAGAAAAGCAAAACCTTTCAAATCAAATCGGGTCGTTACAAGAAACCATAAGTTTATTAAAAGAGCAAATTGAACATCAAAAGCTATCAACAGTTCAAAATGATTCTGATTTTAAACAGCAAATAAAAGAAGAGGAGATTAAACTTAAAGAAGAAATTAAAAAGAAGGAGCAAAAATTAAAACAATTGGAAGAGCAACAAAGACAAAAACTAGATGAACAAAACAAACTAATCAGTAACCAAGTTAAAGAAAAAGAGAGCTTGTCAAATAAAATCCAATCATTAGAGAGTACCATAGATCAACTCAAACAACAGCTTGACCAACAAAACCAAGCCATAGGTATCACCAATGATCATACCAACACCCAATACCAAGATCTTTTACAAAAACAATTAAAATTAAAACAACTTAAAGATGAACAAAAAAAATTAATCAAAATCAAAATTAGAGAAAAAAAAGATTTATCCAATAAGGTTCAATCATTGGAGGAAACTATATCCCAGCTCAAACACCAATTAGAAGTTTCGAAAAACCAGGAATCTTTCATTTACTCATTTTGGAAAAAGATAAAATCATATTTTAATTTTAATAATAATGATAACAATAATAGCCCAAATATAGATAATAATGGTTACAATAATCATGATAATTATAGTGATATAGAAGAGGATGGAGATAAAATTTTTATTTAATAAAGTAACAATTATTATAATTAGTTATTTTAAAAATAGTGTTTTTTTTTTTTTTTTGTGGGGGTGTGGTCTTTTTTTCACCCTTTACTTTTATTTATCCACTTTTTTTTGTAAATATATAAGTGGTTTTTTTAATAAAAGTTGGGGGTTAAGTTTTTTATTATTCATTTAAATAAAAAATATAAAATTATAATTTTATTGGTTAAAAAATTTAAAATCACACCTTATCACTTTTTTATTTTTATTAATAAAAAACAATTTTATATTATAAAAAACAAAATAAAAGAAATAAAAAAAAAAAAAACCAATCATAAAAATTAATTTTAGAATTTAACAAACACTGTATTATATATTATCTAAAAATAAAAATTATTACACATAATAGAAATAATGAAGTATAAAAATTTTTTATTTATTTATTTTGTATTTTTAATATATATCAATATATCTTTTGCTAAAAAGAATAAAAGTAGGTATATCATTAGATTCTATATTTGATAAGCTTATTAATCAGATTATTATAATAATTAATTATTTAATTATTTAATTATTTTTATTTTTATTTTTATTATTTTTATTAATTTTTTTAAATTTCTTTTTGAATTTTTTAGATTCAGAAGATATCAAACCTCCTCAAATTTATGAATTAGAATTAAATGACCATTATCCAAATTATATAGAATTCACTTTAATAGGTCAATTTTCAAAAGAAAAAACAGGATTTTCTTTATATTTCGGAAATGATAAGGTAACTCTTTATAATTTTGAGAAAGGTGATGTCAAGATTCTAAATGTTACATCAACACCAGATCAGACTATATCACCAACACCAGACAACACAACACAAACACCGAACCCAACCCCATCCCCATCACCAACAGAAACTAATAAGCCTGATAATGAAACCCAAGCTCCAAAAGAAACAGAGAAGCCAGAGAAAGAATCAAAAAATAAATCAAAAGAAGAATCTGAAGAGGAAACATCTAAACCAAAAAAGCATTCTAATAAAAAATTAAAGACTAGTCATTTGCTTCAAAAGAAGAATGATAAAAAACCCAAAAAAAACAATAGCTCTCAAGAGTCAACAAAAGAACATGAAACTGATAAACCATCTCCAACTCTCTCACCAAGTACCTCACCAAGCTCTTCCCCAAGTGTTTCCCCAAGCTCTTCCCCAAGTGTTTCCCCAAGCTCTTCCCCAAGCTCTTCACCAACTACCACACCTACACCTACAGTACTTGTACAAGAAAACGATAGAGTATCATTTAATATAACAAGCTTTGTATCTTTTAAATCAATTAATATTACTATTCGTTATAAAAATGGTATGGAAGCAAGAGTTCCATTTACTTTAGAATCTATTATTTCATCCATTACCCGTGTTAATAATACTGGTGGCATTGTGGATATCAAAGGCCGTTTCATTTTAAATATAATTGATCAAGATTCCAGTCCACCAGAGGTTAAAATAGGCTCAAAAACATGTGAATTAGTTTCATTCTCCACTTCAGTTATTAGATGTTATTTGCCAAATGGGTCAGCTTGTCAAAATTCAATTTCTATTAAAAATATACAATCATTTAATTCAACTAAATATGAATACTGTTATTCAAACCCAATTATTGACCGTGTTATCGGTATTCCAAACCAACCACAAACACCACATACAAAAGTAATAACTATTCTCGGTCACAACTTTAATCAATCTCCACAGGTTTATTTAGAAAAATCATCTAAACTATTTGTTGAGAGAAAGAAATGTGAAAATAGAATAAACAGTGATACAATTATAGTATGTGAACTCAACACCACTTATACAGTCGTCGAAAGAAAAAATTCAAAACTATTACAAACAGAACCAGGAAATGACCAAATTCATTACAGTTTATTCGTTTTAAATGTACCAGGAAATATATCCATAGACCAAGCCAAGGTCATTCCATTTTACAGTAATATTGTTGGGGAATATGATTTCAATAAACAACAATCTCAAAACTCTGGTTCATCATCATCTTCCCCATCTTTAGATTTTGACTTTAAAGAAGAAAAAGTAGATAAAAATAACAAAAATAACAGTGGCGGTAGTAATTATGAAGATGCAAAATTCTATCTTTTAATTATAATTCCATCAGTATTATTTATTGTAATTGTTGTATTAATTGCAGTATTTATCAAAACAAGAGCAAAGGGTAAAGATAAAATTCCATTTTTGGTTTTAAATGACATTGGTACTGGTAATGAAATTCATTACAATGAAAAAATCCAAGTCACTCCCATATGAGGTCTAAATTCAAATAAATAATTATTTAACTCCAAAAAAAAAAAAATGAAATAAATAAACAAATAAAATAAAAAAGTATTATAAAAAAAACAACTATTTTTCTTATTACTTATTAAAATATATTCATATCTTTTTTAGGGATATTAAAGTATACATATAACAAATTTTTTTTTTTAAAACACAAAAGTGGGGGAAATAATTCTTAAATGGTATTTTATAAAGATATTTTAAAATGTGGGGCATTAAATATTTTAAATTTTATATTTTTTTTTTTATATTTTTTTATATTTTTTTATATTTTTTTTTTTAATTAAAACATATATTTTTTTATATAATCATAATATTCTATTCTTAAAACAATAAGAATAAATAATTTTAAAATTTTTTTTTAGTTCTTTTTTTTTTAATCTTTAGATTTTTTCTATATTTAAAAATAAATCTTGCCATTTTTTTTAAAAATTTAAATTTAAATTTAAATTTAAAATTTTAAATTTTAAAAAAAAAAAAAAAAACTATATTATAACATAATTAAAAAAAAAAAGACGTTTAAAAACAAGAAAACCGAAAGAAAATTAAAAGTAAATAATTTTTAATAAATAAATATTTTAAAAACTAATATTTTTTTTTATTTTTTATTTTATAAATTTTTTTTTATATAAACTAATTTTTTTTTTTTTTTATTCATTAGATAATCAATTGTACATACGACTCAAATAATTATATTAATAATAATAAAATAATCGAAAAATTTAAATAATAAAAAATTTAATAATTTTATAAAAATAATAAAAATGGTTACAAATATAAAAATAAAAAAAAATAATTCTATTAATAATTTAAAAGAAATTGAAATAAATCATAAAAATAATGATAAATTTAAAAATGATATTATATTTTTTAAAATGTGGCGTAATTGTGTAATTCGTTCAGAAATATTTAACCAACTTAGATTATATAGTATTCATTTTTACCAAAGAAAATTTAATTTAGAAAGATTGAAAGATTTCCAATTCAAAGAGTATTTAAATAATTTAGAGTTAGATATTGACAACTCAATGCACCAATATGATAGTATTATTCCTAAAGTTTTACCAAAGTCAATTAATACTTTACAATTTGACTATCGTTTCAACCAAACATTAACACCCAACTCATTACCCAATAATATAGCCAGTATTCAATTTGGATTTTATTTTGACCAAAAACTAGAGTATAATTCGCTTCCTCATTCTTTAACCTCACTTAAATTTGGAGATAGCTGGAACCATAAGATTGAGAAGGGAATTTTACCAGACTCATTAAAATCATTAACCTTTGGAAAAAGTTTCAATCAGTACATTGAACCTGGAACTTTACCTGCATCCCTGACTAGTTTAGTTTTTGGCTCTAGATACTCTTTTCCCATAGATGAAGATGTTTTGCCGCTCAAATTAGAATCCCTTGTATTTGGTGATAAATTTAACCAACCATTAAAACAAAACACAATACCCGATGGAGTCACCTCTATTGTATTTGGACACGACTTTAATCAAAAACTTTTACCAAATACATTCCCAAGCTCTGTTAATAAAATTCGTTTCGATGGCCGCTTTAATCAAATAATAGAAAAAGATCACCTTCCACCTCAGTTACAAGTATTAGAGTTTGGTTATTTTAATCAAGTAATATTACCAAATACACTACCTCCAACACTAAAGCATTTAATATTCCGTTACGATTTCAACCAAATAATTGCTCCATTTTCTTTACCTCAAAGCTTAGAGATTATTGAACTATCTCATTCATTCAATAAAGTATTAGAACCAAATGCATTTCCATCCAACATCAATTATATTCAATTTGGCTATGAATTTAACAGTGCTATACATAAAGATGTTTTACCATCAAATTTAAAAACCCTAAAGTTTGGACATGACTTTAACCAACCTCTAGAACCTTTTTCAATACCTGTGGGTGTAACATCAATCCAATTTGGATTAGATTTCAATCATATCACTGACGAATCAGTATTACCAAAATCTCTCAAAGAAATTATTTGCGACAATTTTAACTTTCAATATATTCCACCCTCAGTTGTACATTTAAAGCTTAATCATTATTTCGATTCACCAATTGAACCCGGTTTCATTCCATCAACAGTCGAAAAATTAGAGTTTGGTTATTATTTCGACCAACCATTGGTTCCAGGATCGATTCCAGATAGTGTAAAACATATTGTTTTTGGTTTCAACTTTAACCAACCTCTTCCAGCTGGTGTTTTAAGTGAAACAGTTAAGGCTAAAAATTTAAAAATTGTCGAATTTGGATATCGTTTCAATCAACAACTCGCAAAAGGATCCATCCCAAGAGGTGTTACCCGTGTTCGTTTTGGCTCATGTTTTAATCAACCTTTCGATTCTGAAGGAATTCTTCCTGATACCATCGAATCTATACAATTTGGTGAAAAATATAATCATATATTATCTGCTAAATATTTACCACAAAATTTAAAGGAAATAGGTTTTGGTATAATGTATTTACAACCCATAACCAGCGACAGTTTACCAGACTCTGTAGAAACCATCATAGTAGGGGATAGCTCACCACCAATTGAATATGTTCCAAAATCATTAAAAAAAATCCAATGTTTTAATACAAGTACCAAATTTTTTAATTCAATAGACTTACATTTATATGGTCAATATATAAAGGTTTTAAATAAAGGTTTTCATATGATGTCACTTTATTAAAATTAATAAAATGATTAAATTAAATTAAATTAAATTAAATTTTTGGTTGTTCAGTTTTATTTTTTTGATTAATTTACCAATAAAAAAAAAAAAAAAAAAAAAAAAAAATTTGTTAAAAATATTTTTTTTTAATTTTTTTTTAATTTTTTTTTTTTAAAATTTGGAAGATGCAATTTTTTTTTTTTTTAATTTAATTTTTTTTATATTAATTTTAATCACACACAAATACACAAATATATATAATAAATAATAATGGAAAATATTGTTCAAAAAGATTTAGATTTACCAGTTTTAAGAAATGAAGTCAGTAATACAAAAGGATTAGCACATCCAGTTCAAGCTATTCAATTAGATGTAAGTTTTAAAAAAAATAAAAAAACCTATCTATTTTTTATATTTAATATTAATATCATGTTTTTTATTATACAGCAAGGTAAAACAGATGAAAAATTAAAATATTTTGCTATGAAAAACGTTTTTGGTTCACATATGACTCTTAATAATGAAATTGAAAAACAAATTTATTCACAATATAAAAGATTACCAACTTTACCAAGTTCAATGATTGCTTTAGAAACTCATTTAGGTTTAGATGAAGATTTTGATTTTTCAGACTATCTTTCAGGTAAATTAATAATAATAATCAATATTGACCCAGTTTACATTTTAGGAGCAATGCCTAATATTTTATAATAATAAATAATACAAAATATTTACTAACCTTCCTTTTTTTTTTAAAATAGATCCATTATTATCAGCCATCCCAACTCCACAACTCCACCAAACTATGGAACAAAAATTAGGTATTGCTATGCCAAAGAACTTTATGTAAACAATAATTAATAATAACACAAATAATAATAATAGTAATAATAATAATAATGGTAACCAAGTTTTAATAAACTTTAATGTATATTTCTATTAAAAAAAAAAAAAAATTAAAAAAAAATTAAAAAAATTTAATAAATAAATATACACACGGTTTTGTAATTGTTTGTTTTTATTTGTTATAAATTTTAATGGGCTTTTTTACAGTTTTTTTTAAAGTCTTTGAATAATAAATGTGTATTTATGGTTGTCAATATCAATACGAGTTCCATTTTTATTTTTTATTATCACATTCTTTGGCATCGAATTACTATTATGCAACCCTATTGTTTATAAAAATTTAGTTAGAATCCACATGATATATAAAAATAATTAACTTTACTTACTTAATGATACCAATAAATCTCTATCTCTTAAAAACAAAACATCACCTTTCTTTAATAATAAAATATAAACCAATCTTTGAACTCTTTTTTGTATATCATCTATTTCTAAATTACTTTAATTTTTTTTTTTTTTAAATTAAAATTAGAAATTTTTTTTTGTTTGAAAATATGGTGGACTATACTTACATTATCTTTGATTTCTTAAATAAAAGAAATCTGCATTTATAAAGCACATTATCTTTTATATATAACCTAACTTTATCAAAAACTATTTTCTTACTAAAAAAACAACTAAGCATTGTACTACTAGCCACATCACTATTATGTTCACTGTTGCTATCACTATCTATTGTAATCTCTGTATTCTTATTATTATTGTTTTTGGTTATTATATTATTTCTATCTATATTTCTATTATTTTTATTTTTATCTTTTTCGTTATCACTGTCACTGTCACTATTTATTAAATTTATGTTTAACCTATCATCAGTATCTCGGATATTTGTACTTTTTCTATTATTAAAATCTTTTTTGGTATCTATTTTTGTTATTTTATCAATTCCCTCATCCAATTGAGTAAAAATATTATATTCTAAACTTGATTCTTTATTGTTCATGAAATTACCACTGTCAGTTATATCTAGATTGTTACAAAGATCATCTTCTTGCTCCATGATTAATAAAAAAAAATGGTATATTTTATGCAAAATATTTAAATAATTTATTAAAAAAAAAATTAAATAAAAAAAAAATTTTGAAAATAAAAAAAAAAAAAAAAAAAAAATCTGAATCTAATTAATTGATCAAAAAACCTTTATTTATTAACTATTATCCTATTCGAATCGTGACTTTAATTTAAATACATTTGACATTAATAAACAACCGACTGAACAATAATGTTTATCTTCTTTTGTCACTTTATTTTCGACTCTAAATATACAACCTATTGGATTTGAGCATGGTCTACCACAACATTTTACATTATAAAAATCTTGCTTTTCGTTGTCTTCATTTAAATCCATTTTTTTTTTAATAAGTTTATATTGATGAAAATCGATAATATGTTCAACCGAACAAAGCGAAAATATTTTATCTATAAATGAAAAATATAATTAGTATAATTATTGTTGTAAATTTACAAAAGTTTTAATATGTATTTACCGTTTTTATATATATGACAGGTATTTAAATTTTCAATACAACCCACTAAACATTGAGGTGTATCTAGAGTACTATTTTGTTTGTTTTCGGTATTATTACTTTCGTTTATTTGTGGGTCTAATTCTTTGTTACCAGTATTTTCATGCTGGTTATCATTTATAGGACCATTATTACTATTATTGATACTGGTGTTACAATTATTTTGAGTGTTATCTAAAGTTTTATTCTCTTCTTCTTCATTTATTCTTTTTCTTTTTTTTAATAAACTTTCGTCTTCGTTCTGTGAATGTATGTTTTGTGAAAACAAAGAATCATATGGTTTATATTTTAATTCTGATGAATATATTACTGACTTATAATCCTAGATTTTAAATTAAAATAGTTAGTAATTGTGAGATTAATTATAATATTAAATCTATTTACTCACAATTTTATAAGCAATTGATAGCCCAATAAGACAATCAGTTATATGTGCAATAAATGAAAATGTATCCAATTCAATGTTGCAAACTGGACAAGATTTTAATTTATTGTAAATCTCTGAGATATTATATTTATTGGTTGATTGTGGATTGCTCATTCTTTAGAAAATAATGATCTAAAATTTTCATAATAAAAAAACAAAAAATAAAAAAAAATTAGTTTTCAAAAATTCAGAAAAAAATAAAATTTAGAAGAAAAAAAAAAAAATTGGAGGTTAAAAAAAATAAAATAATATAAAATTATTTTATTTGAATTATATATTAGTTTGTATATTTCCATTTATATATTTATTTATTTAAAAAAGTATTTATAAATGTATATAATTTAAAAAAAAACAATAAAATGAGATGGAACTTTCTTTATAGGTTTCGAAAGTGGGTTAATTAAATTAAAATATTTTAATTTTATTTTATTAATTTTTTTTTATTTATTTTTTTTCAAAATTTTACCCCTTTTTTTTTTTTTTTTTTTTTCAAAATCAAATATATAATTATTAAATAATTAAATATATCAGATATACAAGTAAAATAGTTAAAATATTCACAATAACTTCACAATAAAAAAAATAATAAAATAAAACTATAGTTTTTAAAATAATATCCTTTAGGGATTTTGGAAAAGATATTTATTTTATTTTATCAAATAAAACCCTATAAAATAAAATTTTATTTTTTTTATTTAATATTTTTTTAAATTAAAAAAATTTGGAAAAAAAATTTCAAAAAATAAAAAAAAAAAAAAAAACAATTTATAAATCAAAATTGTATAATAGTAACATTAAATTTATTTATTACTTTTTACTTTTTTTAAGGTTTACTGTTATTATTTTTTTTTAGATATAATTAATATTCAAATACTAATCAAAATTTTTTTTTTTTAACAGATGAACTTTAATAAAACATTACTCTTTCTTACCTTTATAGGTATTTTAATTTATTATGCAAACGCAATAAAAATCCCAGTTAATCATATAAAATTTGATGATTCATCATATCAAATTGGTACTGGTATTTATGATATTACAGGTCCAGCTGCTGAAAGTAATTATCACATAATTGTTAAAATAAGACATCAATATAAACTTTTATACTAATTTTTTTTGTTTTTAATTTTTAGCTGGTATGATGGGATATGCTATGCCAGGTCAGATTACAGGAGGTCTTCATTTTCGTTTAAGAGCAAGAGCATTTGTATTTGTTGACAGTAATGGTAATAGAGCCGTTTATGTTTCAACAGATTCATGTATGATTTTCCAAGCAGTTAAAATTAAGGTTATTCAAGATTTACAAGCTATTTTTGGAGAAAATGTTTATAGTCACGAAAATGTTTTATTAAGTGGTACTCATACTCACAGCGGCCCAGGAGGATATTCAATGTATGCACTTTATGGTATTACAACATTAGGTTTCTATGAAGATAATTTTAATACTATTGTTGATGGTATTGTTCAGGCAATTGTTAGAGCCCACAAGAGTGTCGCTCCAGCCAGAATGTTAGCACAACAAGGTGAATTATTAGAGTCCAATATCAATCGTTCCCCAACCGCTTATCAAAACAATCCAGAAGAAGAAAAAGCTCTCTATGACTATGATGTCGATAAGAATATGACTGTTATTAGAATCGAAGATTTAAATGGTAACCCAGTTGCAGCAATGTCATTCTTTGCTGTCCATTGCACCAGTATGAATAACACAAATCATTTAATCAGTGGTGATAATAAAGGTTATGCTAGTTATATGTGGGAAAAATATCAAAATGGTAATTCAACACTCCCAGGCCAAGGTCCATTCATTGCCTCATTTGGTCAAAGTAATGAAGGTGATGTAAGTCCAAATACTAAAGGAGCCTTCTGCCCAGATGGAACTCCTTGTGTAGATTCCTCATCAACTTGCAATGGAAAGAATGAGGGTTGTAAAGCAATTGGTCCAGGTAAAAATGGTGATATGTTTGAAAGCACTCAAATCATTGGTACAAACCAATTCAAGAAAGCACTTGAATTATTTGAAAATGCCTCTATCCCAGTTCAAGGCCCAATTCAATACAGACACTCATGGGTTCAAATGACCAACATCTCTGTCCAAGCTCCATTTAACAATGGTGTCGAAGGTGCCACTACCTGTAGAGCTGCTATGGGTTATAGTTTTGCTGCTGGTACTACTGATGGCCCAGGTGCATTTGATTTCACCCAAGGTGACAACTCTACCTCTGGTAACATTTTCTGGAATTTCATTTCTAAATTTATTGCTGTTCCAACTGAAGATCAAAAACAATGTCAATCTCCAAAACCAATTCTCATTGATGTTGGTTTAACTAAACCATACCCATGGACCCCAGATGTTTTACCAGTTCAAATTATTACCATTGGTCAAATTGTTTTGGTTGCTGTTCCAGGTGAATTCACCACTATGTCTGGTCGTCGTCTCAGAAATACAGTTCGTGAAGTCATTGGTCAATCAATTCAAGATCCAATTGTTTTAGTTGCTGGTCTTGCCAATACTTACTCTGGTTATATTGCCACTTACGAAGAATATGAAACCCAAAGATATGAAGGTGCCTCAACTATTTTCGGTCCACACACATTGGGTGGCTATCAACAAGAGTTTGCTAAACTCGCTCAATCAATTGTCGATGGTACAGAAGTTGATCCAGGAACCTTCCCACGTAACTTAACAGGTCACACTCTTTTCTTCTTACCACCAGTTATCTTTGATGAAGCTCCAAGTGGCGATGATTTCGGAAAGATTTATACCGACGCTCAAGAATCCTATTCCGTAGGTTCACAAGCTAGTGTTGTTTTCTATGGTGCCAATCCAAGAAATAACTTTATGATAGAGTCATCTTTCTTGACTGTTGATCAATACGTTAATAACCAATGGGTTACCGTTTTAAATGATGGTGATTGGGATACCAAATTCATTTGGAAAATGCATAATTTAGCTCAATCCTTAATTACTATCGAATGGAATATCGACCCAAGCACCCAACCAGGTACATATCGTATTACCCATACTGGTTACGCCAAAAAAGATCCAATTTCAAAAGACCTCACTCAATATTTGGGTGTTTCAAGAACATTTACTGTTACCAATTAATTTCTCTTATAGATTTAATATATATATTTTTTATGTGTTCTTTTTTTTAAAAAAAAAATAATAAATCCTTTTTTTCTTATATAATAATAAAAATTAATAAAAACTAATATATCTATTAAAATAATTGTATATTTTAATAGAGGAAAATAATTATAAAAAATAAACTTTGTGTTTTTTTTTTTTTTATATATACAATAAAAACTTTATTTATAATTTAAATATATCTAAAAGTAAATACCAATACCAATATAATTATAATTGTCAATAAAGGTATGAATGAAAAGCAAATTCTTTTTCTTCTTAAGTCTTTTTCATGATTACGATTGTTGTTATGAGTGGTGGATGTCGTTCTATTGGTTGTGGAATCACTGTAGCTTGTTGTGGATGTTGAATAAATAATTACTGGTGGGGGTGATGATTGAACGTATGTGGTATTATCTGAATTCTTTGATAAATCAATTGGATTTACATTATTTGTACCATAATAATAATTTACATTAGGATCGTGATTAGAGTTTGTTGATGTTGTTGTTTGACTATTATTTGGGTAATATGAGCTATAATTATTGTTGTTATTGTTAGCATTGGCTTCAGTTGTTGATAAAGATGATGATCCTGTCGGGTAAAAATTTGGGGGTTGGTATGGTGCTATGTAATCTAATGATCCATCATCACCAGTTTTTTTATTTAAATTTACTTCTTTCATTTCATTTTCATTTTCTTCATCTTTATAATCTTTTCCCATTTTTTGTTGTCTTATTTTATATTGCTATTGTTATTGTTTTAATATTATTTTTGAGTTTAAATATTTTTTATAGCTTTTTTTTATCAAAATTTTGTAATTTTTTTTTTTTAATTTATATGTTGTTTAAATTTTTAAGATAATTTAATATTTTTTTTAAAATAATTTAATAATACAAATTACAATTTGTTTATCTTTTAAAAAAAAAATTTTCTTTTAAATAAATAAAAAAAAAAAAATAAAATAAAAATAAAAAAAATAAAAATAAATAATTATTATTTACTTTTTTTTTATTTTTTTTTTTTTTTATTATAATTATTTATAGAATCACAGGAAAGTTAGCTTGTTGCAGGAAAAAACAAAAAAAAAAAATAAGAGTGTTTTCAAAAAAACGTCACTCAGGAGTGGATTTTGGTCTTAAATTGCATATAATTATTATAAAAATATTAAAAAAATATTTTTTTATTTTTATTTTTTTTTATTTTTATTTTATTTTATTTTTTCTAAAATTGAAAAGATTTATTTTAATAAATTAAACTAACAATTATTATTTATTAATTTTATTTTTATTTCTTTTTATAATTAATAAAAAAAAAATAAAAAAATTATTCAATGACATTTTACTTGATTAAGGTTTGTTAAGACAACCTTAAAACAGAATCCAACTCCCAAAAAAACCCCACTAATCGCAAATCTATTTTTTATTATAATTTTGAAAAAAATTACATTTTGTTTTATTTTACATGTTTTAATGCTTTATTAAAAAATAACAAATAATATTATTGTTATATTTATAAATAGATAGAAAAAAAAATCTCCTGAATAATTAATTTTTTTAATTTTAATTTTTTTTTTTTTTTTTTTTTTTTTTTTAATTTTTATCATTTTCCATTCAAAATTTTTTTCTTTTTTTTTATAATTTAAAAATAATAATATAGTAATAAATCAAAATGTCATATATGTTGATTGAAAAACTCAGACCAACACAATGTGCAGTTGGAATGAATCATGTATTAAGAAAAGTAGGTGAATTACAAGAATTAAAATCATCACAAGGTATCCAAAAGGTATCAGAATTTTTAAAAACACATCCAGCCCCAGTTGTTATTAAAAATAATGAAGTGTTTTTAATCGATAATCATCATTTATGCAGAGCATTACACGAATTAGGCGATGATTTCTTTAAAGATATTCCATTAGAAGAAAATATATTTTCAAATAAACCAATTATGTATATTAATGTAGTTTCAGATTTATCACATCTTTCAGACCAAACCGAATTTTGGAACAAAATGAACCAAGAAAAATGGGTTCATCCATATAACAAGCATGGTGAAGGTCCAGTAAATGTTAATGTAAATATTCATTATTATATAGATCACCAAATAATAATCACTAATAATAAAGCTTTATTTTTATAGGAAATTCCACAAAGTGTCGGATTATTAGAGGATGATATATTTAGAAGTATTGCAGCAGTTGTTAAAATTAAAGGTGGTTTTAAAAAGACATTTATTCCATATGCAGAATTCCAATGGGCAAATTATTTTAGATCATGCTATAAAAATAAAGAAATTGACCCAAAAACAGATTTCGAAAAACTTATTGCAGAATCTTTAGAATTATCAAAGAGTGATAACGCAAAGCATTTACCAGGTTTCATTCAAGAATAATTAAAATAAAGTTATAAAATGAAAAGTTAAATTTAATAAGATAATTTTTCATTTTAAAAAATAAAAACTAAAAAATGTATCTTTTGTTCTTTTTATTTATAAAATAAGATTATTTATTTTATTTTAAAACAATTGAAGATAGTATGTTGTGGATCCATCAGCATGAGTTTTGTTACCAGCGGTTCTACATGGTGTTCTACAAATAGGACATGTTTTTTCAAGTTCGAACCATTGACTAACACAATCTTCGCAAAAGATATGGTTGCATCTTAAAACGATTGGTGAGATTAAATTGGATCTACAGATACTGCAAACGTCACCTGCTTCCATAATTTGTTCGGATGTAGCTTTTTTACCATAGAGAACTTCGTGCAGGACGAATGCACGCAATGTTGAGAAACAAAGTTTAACTCTTTCGATAGTAGAGGATAGTTTGATGGTTAAATAAAGTCCAATCATAACACTGCTGAAAATATGATCCCCATTTTGTTGTAATGAGTATAAATAACTGACCCACACTGTAATTGGTAATAGTGTTCTATACAAATGGGTTGCAGATTCTATTGCACTATATAATTGACCACGACGTTTAAATGGTGGACGATGACCTACTGCTATGATGCAAATTGATTTTACAATCATACCACAAAATCTTGCAATAAAGTCATTAAGAATAACTACCCAAAAAGATGAACAAATATTAAAATCTGTGAGCTTTGGTGGAATAAATGCCATTGAAAGCCAAAGTTGTTGTGGTGAGAAAATGAAATAGGTGGTTGCTACATTGCTGGATAGTGTTAAAATGATCCATATTAGATTCACTAATGAACGTTTGTGTTGTAATGCAACTTGGTTTTTGATTGCTTGATCAACATGCATAAACACCGTTTGTTGCCATAAGAAAACTAAAATTCCTTGTCTATGATTATATAAAAATACAGTGAGTAAAATAAATAAAAAGGGTAGATTTTGTTCTATCCATCTTAATAAAATTGGTAAATCAAATCTGGCTGTAGTTGTATTTGATGTTGTTGTGGTTTGAACTGGGTCATTATTATCATTGCTGTTATTGGTGTCATTAAATTCTAAAATATCTGCATCTAATTCATCGTTATGTTCTTGTTGAATAATTTGTGGTGTTTGATATGGTTGTTGTTGTTGTTGTAAATTTTGGTTTTGGTTTTGGTTTTGATTTTGATTTTGGTTTTGGTTTTGTTGCATCGATTGAAGCCTTATTATATTTGGTAATATGTTATTAAAACTAAATGTACTATTGTTGCTATTATTTGGTAATGTGTTGTTTTGTGGTATTTGGTGTGATGGCTGTTGTTGTTGTGTTTGTTGTTGTAGTTGTTGTTGTGTTTGTTCTTGCTGTTGTCGTTGTAAATATAATGATGATAATCTACCAGGATTTGTATTGGTAGTTGAAGTATTGAAACGATTATTTGGTTCTGGGTTTCGATTATTTATTAAATGGCTTAGTGAAGAAAAGTTTCTTGATATTTGATTGGTTAGGTTACTTAATGGTGTTTCAAATGAAAAATTGACAATATTATTATTATTATTATTATTATTATTATTATTATTATCTCTAAAATTATTGCCTGAGTCCGAGTATGGATTGGGCATAGAATGCATGCCACCTGTATTACCAAAATTTCCATTGCTATGGTTTATATAATTATTGTTGATACCCATATTATGGTTATTTATATTATGATTATTATGATTATTATTATAATCTGAAATATCTATATCATTAAAATTATTATTATTTATATCATTGTTATTACTATTATTGTTATTATTATCGTTCGAGTTTGGATCAATCCTAATCGAAAATTCCATTTTATATAAAAAAAAAATATTTACAAAAAAATATATATATATAAAAAATATTATACAAAAAAGAAATTTATATGGAAAAAAAAAAAAAGATTCAGTATTGGATTAATTTAAAATAAAAATAAATTTTAAAAAAAAAAAATTATTTTTAAAAAAAAAAAAATTAAAAAAAAATATTTTATTTTATGTTTTATTCAAATATTCAAGTATGCTATATAAATAAATTTAAAAATAGATTTCTTTTTTTTATGTTTTTTTTTTTATCATTTTATTCTTTAATATTTAAAATTTTAAATCAAACTTTAATTAAACTTTAATAAAACTTTAATAAAACTTAATTAAAATTTAAATAATTTTTATAACATATCGTTATATTCCCAAATTGAAAAAATCCTAATAATAATAAAAACAATAAATTAAAATTATCTGAAAAGTCAACTACAATCATAATAACCTTTTAAAAAATAAAAAAAATAAAAAAAATAAATATTATTGGTCAATAAATAAAAAAAAAAAAACACACACCAAAACATCATTTACACCACTACCACCACACATCATAACATAAACTCCTTTTAAGATTGTATTTTTATTATTTAATTATTTTATTAGAAGTTGATTTACAAATTTTTTATATAAAAAAAATAAAAAACAAAAAAAAGTAATTAAAAAATAATAAAAAAAATGTTTTATTTTTTTTCTTTTTTTTATTTATATATATTAAATTTATCAATATTATAATCAATAATCAATAATCAATTAATATAATTATTTATTTCATATAAATATGAGTAAAGTTATCTAAAAATATTAATAGTTTCTTTATATAATTTATTAATTTTCCCAATTTTTTTTTTAAAAAATTTTTATAACAGATAAATTAGCAACACAGCAACCACAACAAAAAAATAAACTTATAAGAGAAGGTAGTGTGTTAAATAAAATTAATTTTTTCAATCAATGTAGCACCAAACCATACAATAAAAAATAATGGTAACAATAAAGTTGATGATGAAGAGAATGAGCAATTAAATAATTCAATCGAATCATTAAAAGAAAAGATATTTTATGAACCCAACGAAGCAATCAATTATTTTAATTTAGCAATTTTATTAAATAATAGAAAGAATAAATCAATCACATTGGTAGATGATGTTGAAATGGATCAAAAGCAACTATATATCAAATCATATAATTTAGATAATAGTTTTGTTGGTTCATTAAATAACCTATCAACGTTATTAAATAATCCAGAAGAAGTGGTCTATTTAAATGAAGAGAACCCATCAATGAACAGATTCGATCTAGCAAAATTAGTGTATGAATTGGATTCAAATTATTCAAATATATGTCATAATTTAGCGGTATTTTCAAAAACAAAATCAACAATTACTCTATCCAATGGAACGACTATCAACAATAAACAATTATACTCTAAAGCAATTTCGACAATGAGTCCAAGTGAATGTTGGAAATCTTATTACGGTCTCTACTTTGAACTTGAAGACGATGAGGATCAAGTTATGGTATTGGAAGAAACAAATAATATAAGCTACTCAAAAAAAGAAATTTTAATTAAAATATTATCTTTGATTAAAGATCATTCACTATTAGATTATTATAATAACTATTATAATAGCGCAATGTCTGTTCAGTTATCAACTGTATATTATAGTTTATCAAATTACTTACAAGATGAAAGCTCCTCTATCCAACTACCCAATATACAAGACTTTGATATAAATAACACTGTCGATCCTTCCTTACCAGCCGCTGCTATTGTCGGTATCTCTGCCGCCAACACCACTATAAATATGAACAAAAAAGATCTCTTAGTCGAGTCCCTCAAATATAATCCATCCAACTATAATGTGATGCTAGAGTTATCCCAAATTATGAATAATCAAGAGCTAATCCCATTGTTTATTGATGGTGCTTCCAAATCAATGTGCAAAGTGGACATTTTATTCTTACTAATCAATATTGATTTAGATAGCGAAATCAATCAATCTATAGTCTTAAAAGCAAATCAACTATATCAAAATATTAAATGGTAAATAATAAATATTAAACAATAAATACTTTATTTAATAAAATTTATATTTTTTTATTTAAAAATCATAAACTATTTTATAATTACTTTTGTTTAAAGCTTTATTTAATGTTTAATTTTAATTGAATTTATTTTATTTTATTTTTAAATATTACAAAATTGTAAATAGTTATTATTAATATCTGTGCAATCATTAACAAACGGGAAAACTTGATCGAGATATTGGGTACCAGAACAGGACGGGCCTTTATATGTGTGAACTATTTCAGCAGTAGAGTTGCATGATGATTTAGTGGTGATGTATTCTGAACCAGAGCAATAGTTTGTATATTGATAGTCGATTCTTTTAAATGTGTTTTTAAATTGACCATTACATTCGCCCTTGTATGAAACATGAACTATTGTATTGATCGGTATATCAATGTCATTGATGATCGATAGTTGAATATTCTCAACGCCCCAAAAACTATGAGCTGAACTATTACAATAATTTAATCTATGAAATACTTGCTCTTTATATTCTTTAATTTAAAATATTAGATGTTTGATTTTATTTTTTTAAAACTATTATTTTAACTTTTTACCTTTACAATCTAAATCATTATATAATGTTTCTACTATAATATCGTCATGGTCATTTTCGTTATATTTTAAAGTTGAAAATTCATGTTGATGTTGAAACCTGATACACTCTAATGGTTTTATTATGGTTGCTTTTATTAACTGATTAACTTTGCAATTTGTTGAGTCTATTTCATCACCATCAAAATAGCTAACTAAAATTAATGGTGATGAATTTGCTTTGATCAAAGTAAACAATATAGATAAAAATACATAAAGAGTATAACTTTTAAAAATGGTCATTGTTGTTAATCGTTTGTTTTTATGAAAAATGAAAATTTAAAATATTTTAATGAAATAATAGTCATGGTATGGATAATCTGGTAATAAAATTTCGCACTGGTCAAATATATTTTAAATTAAACCAAAGTGTCACATTTTTAAAAATTACAAAAAAATAAAAAAAAAATTATTGTTCAAATCAGCCAAGTTTGTGCAATTTTTTTGTCATAAAAAAAAATTTTTTTATATTAAAAAAAATATACACAACAAAAATAAAAATTAAAAAAAAAAAAAATAAAAATTAAATTTTTTTATATTAAAAAAAATATACACAATAAAAATAAAAATTAAAAAAAAAATTTAAAATTTACACACAATAATTAATATTTATATTAACATCAATTGATCATAATATTAATTATAATATCTCATGTATAATAATAATAATAAAAGAAAAATAAATAGTGTTGAAAACAGTAACGATATAGATGATAATAATGATAATAATGAAAATAATGATATAAATGATATAAATAATAATGTCGATTTCTGCATTAATAAATATAAAAAAGTCAAATATGAAGAAATTGAAACCTCAGAATTAAATATCATTGCAAAATCATTAGATTTAGAATTTATAAACCTAAGTAAAAAAGATATTTACGATAGAGTTGGTGAAATATTACAAATTAAAGAAAATATTTTAAAAGAAAGCAATATAAACTCATTCAATAAGGAACAACCCAAATTATTAAACTTAGAAATCGATGCATTAGAACATTTATTCTGGCGTGTAATAAGAAACAAAGCAATATTCAAGAAAATTTTTTCAAATTTTATTTTCAGTCATATAAAAACGTATAATCAAATTTATCACATTAGCCATATATTTTACCGTTTCAGTAATGCAGAGGCAATTATTAAAGATAAAATCAAAAGTAATAGCTATTTATCACTTGATGTAATCAATACGGGTAATCCCATCTTCTCAATTATAAACAAAGATAATCAAGAGAATAGACAATTTTATAGAACTTTTTTTGAAATCTATTCAAAACATTTTACCCTAGACAAGCATCTAACTTTAAATATGTTATTATCACATTCAAATATTGCAGCATTAACAGTATTTTTAGATTATTCTCAAACTATTTTAGATCTAACAAATGAAAATATAGATATTTTACCAATCGGTCTCCTTACTGCTCAATCATTCGAGTTTTATGGTTTCCTTAAAGAGAATTATAAAGTTCCATCAAAATATAACCCTTCAATTTTACTAAAAATTTTTAAAAAAAATTTTAAAATCAATCAACTTTTTAAAGTTATTAAAATAATAGTAAATCATTTTAAAGTTAACCAAAAATATTATATTAGTCCAAAAAATATTGATTCAATTAAAGATCTATTTACAAAAGAACAATTAAATTTCGATATTATAAAATTTATAAAAAATATTAATAAAGAAAATTATAAAAATAACAATAACAATAACAATAACAATAATAATAATAATAATATGAATAAAATTATTGAAAATAATAATTTAAAAAAAATAATTCAAAACTTTATAAAGCTATTTTATTCAATTAATCGAAAAAACAAACCAATTATATATTATATATTATTCAAAAATAGAGAAAAATCAATAGGAAAATCAAAACAATTCTCTTTAAAATATTTGGATTTTTACTCTGATCTTATCGTTTATGGTAGTGATACAAGAGGTATTGAAGAAAGATTTCAATTTTATTCAGAACATTTGTTATTTTTCAAAGATGAATCCATAGAAAAAGAAATTTTTCATTTGTTTGTAAAAAGTGGCCAAGTTGAATTAATTGACATGATTTTGAAGGCAAATTTAGTACAGATTAGTGCTCATGGTATATTGGCATCTGCTAAACATACACAAACACTAGATTACTTTTTTAAAAACCATCAAGATCATTTATACCAAAATAGGAATCAATATTGGGTGTCAATTGCAAATAAAGATCAATTAGAATATTATGAAAATCAAATAGAGTCACTTGGAAGAAAATTATTAATAGATAAAATCAATTCAAGTTTCCTTAATTCACCAAAAACATTAAAATTTTTATTAAGAGCCCTCAACAAACCAAATCTTTATGAAATCTCAGAAATGTGTGATATTTTAGAATCGTATAAACAATGTATCAATACATACCTACTTCTAAAAAAAAAACAAGAACCTATAATAGAGCTATTTAAAACTTCAAAATCCAAATATTTTAGTCTTTTGTTCCTAGATGGTCATCCAAATGAATACCAAAAAATAGCCTATTGGATTTTTAATAATTGCTCAGATATAAATATTGGAGAGGGTACTATAGAACTTAATGTGGCAACTGGTAGAGATAAATCAATCAGGTTTCAACTCTCCCGCCAATTATTTTTAGTTTTTTTAAGATTATGTGGCCTTTACGATCAAATATTTAAATTAGAACATCAATATGATATTTACTATAACATCCTTATAAAGACAGAAAACTGCAACCTTGGCATTATTGAAGAGCTTTTAAAACACCATTCCGACAAATTAAGAAGCATTCCTCCGGAATTTAATTTTAATTATTACTTTACAGGTTTTTTAAAAGATTGCGCAGCATTTGGTAATCTTTCAGTATTCAACTTTTTAGCTCTAAAGTATAGTTTTATTTTCAATCTTGAGAGTTCTTTTTTCGGACCTATAATTAAAAGCCTCTTGATCACTTCAGCAAAACATTGTAACTTATTACTAATCGATTTTTTGTTAAAGTTTTTTCCATCAAACCCACCAACCATGGTTATAGAATTATATAACCAAACTAAAACAAAAATAGAAACTTATACAAACTCAATAGGTTTAAAATATTTAAAAGATAAGATAGAAAACAAATTAAATTTTCAAACCAATAACAAATGAATAATAAAAAATAGGTAAAATAAAATAATAAAATAATATAAACTTTTTTTTTTATAAATTTTTTTATTAAAACTCTATCTCTTTTCTAAAATAATTTTATGAGATATAGGTAAGGAATTTAATTTAAAAATTGGTGTATCATCAATGATTGTATTTGTTGATGACTTTATCTTGAAATTTAATATCATATTTGAACAAAATAGATAATTGATATCATTTGCTAAATTTTTTCCAACACACTGTCTTTTCCCAACACTATATAAAAGCAATCTTTCCATGTGGCCCTTTGGTTCGCCGATAAAACGGTCTGCTATAAATTGTTGTGGATTCTCCCAATAATCCTCATCCATAAAAATGGATGAGGTTAAAATTGCAACTCTTGAACCCTTTGGAATAAAAATACCACCGATTTCGATATCTTCTTTTGTTTCTCTTGGTGCTGTAGATGTTCCGAGTCTATATCTTATAACTTCGTTAATGACAGAGTTCAAGTAAGGTGTATCTTTATAACGATTCTTTGTTGAAATAAAACTTTTATTAATTGTTGAAAGTTCTTCATATATTTTTTCTTGAACCTCGGGATGATTTGCCATAATTAATAAGAACCACTCCATTAAAATACTTGTTGAATTTAGACCTGCATTTAAGAAATCGAAAATTGGTGCTATTACATTATGTTCAAATTGTTGTTCCTTAGGGTAACTTTCATTTAATAGAATAAGTTCGTCAATGGTATCTCTTGGTGCATTTCTGTCAATGGAGTCCATATGGGGATCTACAAGTTTCTTTTTTATAACACTGTATGATTTTTTTAATATCTTTAAATCTGAGAGCTTGTGATATAAACCAATAAACAAACCAAAAACATTACTATTGAGCAAAGGTTTTCCTTGAGCTTTTGAAACAAAATCAAAGAGCCCTTCTATTAACTCCCAACATTCTGGATCGACCATTGTTTGTTCAAATGGTTCTGATATTTGAAAATATTCATAAAAGATATTCATGATTAAAGGTTTGGTAAATTTCCATGATTTTATTTTATTTCCTATTTGATGATTTGCAAAATGATTAATTGTTTCTTTTATTTTTTCTTCAACATAATATGTTTTTTTACGCAATAAAACATTTGTAGATAATGAAGAAAATGTGTTTCTAGTTGCCTCCCACCTTTTATCTCTTGCCTGTGATAAACCTGAAAAATTGTGAGATAAAACCTGATTGGTATAAATGATTGGTCTATTTAAAAAATTATCACCATTCTTTACCAAAAAATCCCTTGCTGAATCTGGATGTAACAATAAACACATATACTGATCCATAAACCAAAATGCTATTACTTTTTTTTTTGTTAAATCCTTTGTATAATTTGAAATTTCATAAAATGGTTTCATAAAATCACCTAATAAAAAAAAGGTTTAGAATAATTATTTAACAAATTAAAACTATAAAATATCTTACAATTATAAAAATGACCAAATATTGGTATTGCTATCCATGAAGGTCTTATAGGATCATTTTTTGAAAACCTTTTGTTTATATATATCTATGGTAATTGTTAGTTTAATTAATTTTTAATTTGGTACTTAAAATTTTATACTTACAAACCTAAGTATTAATAATATAAAAATAATATATGCCAAAATTATATTTAACCCCATGGTTAATAAAAATTAAACTTCCCTATTTATTTTATATATATATAACATAATATATAAAAAAAAAAAAGTTTAAATATTTAAAATATTAAAAACAAAAGATAAAAAAAGTATAAGATTTAAAAAATGAAGATTATTTATTTGAAAATAATATTAATTATACATAATAAATATTAAGATATTCCCATATAAAAAAATAATGTTAACATAAAAGATAAGCCAAAGTTAAATATTTCTCAAAATATATTGGGAAGATAAATAGGTAGCATATTATTTTATATTAATAAAAAATTAAAGATATTTATTTAAAAATTTTTAATAATATAAAAAACCAATATTAATCTCGCCATACCATTTATATATATTCAAAATATAGCTGAAACCTTTAAGGAAAAATTATTATAATTCAACCTAATAATTTTATTTAAATAAATTTTAGCTGTTGTTTTCTACTGTTTGATACCGATAAAACCATTTCCATTATCATTTTATTATGAGAAACATCTAGATCGAACTTTTCTCCTTCTTTTACAATAACACCATTAATTGATTTAATTTCTGTTGGTTGGCCTCTGATGACATCTTGAAGCATACTTGAATAGTTTTTGGCGGTTTTAAAGGCAATTTCTGATACATATTTAAAAGCTTCGTCGGAATCCTCTCCATATGGCAATTTAATTCCCTTTGCATTACAAACACCGATAGCTTCGTGAATTATTTTTTTCATTAAATTTTTGCTATATTCATTTTCCATTAGAACACCGTTTGGTACACCCAATACTGCTGTTAATGGATTGATAGCTGCATTTGCCACGACTTTACCCCAAACCATACCCTCAACATTGTATGTGATATCTGAATGTACACCTGATTCATTTAAAATTGAATTAAATGTATCCAATGCAATCTTCTCTTCAATTGTACTTGGTTTTGGTAATTGAGACTGTAAAAATGAAGATGATGAGATGAATGTGCCACCAATACCTGTCTGTTTAACTAAACCTGGTGACACAACAATAGCTGCATTACTTGTTACACCCTGCCATACATGATTCTTCAATCCTCTATCACTTAAAGCTGATTCGATTTCTTCTCTATTTCCAATTCCATTTTGTAAGGTTATTACTGCACCATTTGGATTACCGCCAATAATTGTAGCTGCTGTATTTGCTGCTTGTTTAGTTGAATTACTCTTTACCAATACTAATGCTAAATCGGGTGGACCATCCTTTAGTACCTGCATTCCATCCAATGTTGCTCTAATACCTTTAACATTCTCTTCTTTACCATCCAAATTATAAAACTTTAAACCATCTCTATTTATAGCATCCACATGTTCTTTCCAAGAAGATACCATCCAAACATCTGCTATATTTTTTTTTGCTAATTTTGCGCTAAAAAAACTTCCCATTGCACCTGCACCAATTACGGCAATTTTTGGCTTTTTATTACTATTTCCAAAAGACATTTTATCTGGTACTACTAATTGATTTGGTGTAACATTATTTGTATTGTTATTGTTTATATTATTATTTATATTATTATTTATATTATTAATATTATTATTTTTACTATCAATATTATTAACACTATTTTTTATATTACTATTTATATTATTTATATTGCTATTGCTATTAATACTATTCTTTTTTTCTTTTAATAAATTATTTTGACTGATAATATTTTTATTTGTTGATAATACTGAATCATAAAACTCGTTCATTTGTTTATTGTCGTTTATTTTATTTGTATTTAATGTTTGAATTTTTTCCCAATATAACTTTAACTCTGATTCTTTCATAGAGAATGAATGACTTGGTGATGGAAAAGCTCTAGTTTCAATTTCACTTTTAAATGACTTTAATGAATTGTTGATTGTATCTGAAAGGTTAGCATATTGTTTACAAAACTTGGGAACAAAATCGGAATATAACCCCAACATATCGTGATAAACTAAAACTTGGCCACTTGTTCCATTACCAGCACCTATTCCAATCGTTGGAATATCCAATAGTTGTGTAATCGATGATGCAACTGCTTCGGGAACCATTTCTAGAACAATTGCAAAACAACCTGCCTCCTGTAATTCTTTAGCATCCTCTAGTACTGATAAAGCCTCCTCTGATGTTTTACCTTGTAACTTAAATCCACCCAAATTTGATGCGGTTTGTGGTGTTAAACCAATATGGCCAACTACGGGTATACCAGCATTTACAATGGCCCTAATTGTTTCTTTTTGTCTTTTTCCACCCTCTAATTTAATTGCATCAACTCCACCCTCTTTTATTAATCGAATTGCATTTTTGACTCCGTCACTTGGTGATGTCTCAAAGCTACCAAATGGCATATCCCCGACGACAAATGATCTTTTACTACCCTTCATGACTGCCCTGCAGTGATGTATCATCTGATCCATTGTGACATTTGTTGTACCCTTTTCACCCAACATTACCTATTAAAATATTTGATGAAAATATTAGTAAATAAATTTAAAAAAAATTAAAAAATAAATATAAATATATTACCATTCCCAAAGAATCACCCACTAAAATCATATCTATACCAGCCCTATCGACCTCTTTAGAACTACTGACATCATAAGCAGTAACCATTGAAATTGGAACATTATCTTTATACTTCTTTTTAATGTCTAAAATTGTCGTTTTCTTCATATCCCCGACATCCTCTTTTACATGACTTGAAAAAAATAATTTACCACTCTTTTTATTTTCATTATTAAATATTATACTTTTAAAACTACTATTAATATTATTAATATAATTTTTATTTTCATTTTTATTGTTATTGAATGTATATATATCGTTTTTATTGTGTACTATATTACTATTATTTGATATGCTATTGCTATAAAAAGACTGTATAACTATATTACTACTATTATAATTAAATAATTTATTGAGATTTTTTATTGATTTAATATTATGTGAGGGAATCATTTTTTTTTTTTTTTTAGATTATTATTTTAGTTTTATAAAAAATATATTTTTAGTAAAAAATTAAAAAAGAAAATATCAAGACTAAAAAAAAATTAAAAATGATATATTTAAAATTAAAGTAATGTTATAATTTATTAATTAGAAAAATGTACAATTATTACTATTTATAAAATTTAGTGATAACAAATATTTTTTAAAAAAAAAAACACATATAAAAAGTATTGTGTGTTTGTTTGCCTATGTATTATTTGTGTGTGGCGGATAATTTTATTGTTTATTAATTATTTTTTTTAAAAAAAATTAAATTATTTTTTTTTTTTTTTTTGTGTGTAAATTAATATTTATTAATATATATAAAATAATTTTAATAACTATTTATTATAAAAATGGAACAGTTATATGAGAATCTGGAAGAAGGTTTTTTTTTTTTAATTAAAAAATATTTTTTTTTATTTTTTTTTATCCATTTTTTTAAATTATTATTTTTTTAAATAAAAATATAAAAAAAATATTTTAAATTAAAACGATATAAAATTTTTTTTTAATTTCCCACATATTCGCATCAATTTTCTAAATTTGTTAACTTATTGCAAATTTATCGATACTATTGTGCAATTAGCAAGGTTTAAATACTATTCTTAAAAGAGATGGGGTGTACAAAAAATAAATAAAATTTTGTAAAACCAATATGCATCTTTTTAATATATGAATGATGACATTTTTAAAAAAAAATTTTTTATGAACTAACACCATTTTAAAAATAAATTTTTAGATTATTTAATATATCTTTCAATACCCCAGATAAAAAAAATAATTAAATAAATAATTAATTAAATAAAAAATTAATAAATAATAATTAATTTCATCATTTCAATATAAAGAATTATTTATTCATTTAAATAATATAGTTTAAACAATTTTGGAATATTCGGTTAAACAATCCAAATAAATAAATAAACAAATAAATAATAAATAAATTATTAAAAAAAAAAATTTATTTGTATATGTAAATAAATAAATAAATATATAAATATATATAATATTTTTATATATATGTATATTTTAAATATATTTTGTTTTGTTGTTTCTATTATTTTATTTATAGTTTTGTTGATTTGAATATTTAAATAGTTGATCTTTAAAGTTATCGACTGGAGTTTGATGAAGGTATCTTACATTTTGGGAAGTTGATTGTTGTGGTGGAGATTGTGAAATTGGGGTGACTACAATAGGTGAGGATGAAGATGAGGAGGAAGAGGATCTCTTTTTACTTGATAAGCTAAATCTTCTCTTTTTCTTTTCAACTGAATTTGAATTTATAACTTGTTCTAAATGAGATGATTTAGATGAAACTGAGGATAATGGTGTTGATAATGGCTGTGGTGGTATATTAACATCCTCAGTGTCTCTTACTCTATCGAAAATAGGTGATTTATGTTTAATTTTTAATTTTTCTAATTCACTTTGTTGATGTATATTTGTACTCTGATGACTATTATTATTATCTATTTCAATATTACTAAAAGCATTTGATTTATTATTGTTGTTGCTATCATTATTATTATTATTATTATTTATTAATTCGTTTTTATTGTTATCGTTTGGTACTGCTATTTTTTCATTATTGCCTGTTGGTGTTAAAATGGCACCGTTAGTTGCTTTATCTTCACTTATACTAGTTGGTGTGTTTGTATTTGTCTGTATCGATGTTAATAAAATATGGTCATCATTTTCATCAGTTGCTTTATTTCTAGTTTGACCATTATTTTTACCCATAATATTCTTAAATTTCCACATTCTAATTGAACTTGAATAAAATCCTAATGAATCTAAAATTGGGAATAATGCAAATTCCTAATAAAATTACAAAAAAACAAATGATTAGTAAACAAACATTATGGTTTTTAATAGCTATTACTACTATTAATATACATACCAAAACACCGATTAATAATACTATAATATCAACAAAAAAGAATGCATTAAATAATGCAGGAGTAGCATCACCAATATTGGTTGTAAAAATTAATACCACACGAATAGCAACTTCTAATGGTAAAAATGCTACAAATGAAAACTGTAATATTCTAATTCTATTTATTAAAGAACGATTAATAATTGATTTTGAAAAATTTCTTGATACAATAACTAAATATTTAAAATAATAAGAGATAATGGTTAGATATATATGTGCCAATATTTATATTTGAAATATAGTATGTGCTATATTAATAATTACCAAAAAAGAATAAAAATATTACAAAGAATACAGCAAATGCACCAGTACTAATGATTGGTACAGAGCATTTTTGTTCTTTTGAATCATAAACTGTAAATAAATATTGATTTCCTCTTGGCTCTGTTACGTCTGTGGCATCTAATATCAACAATATTAAATGAATGATAACTAAAGGTAATGTGCAAACCAATGACCAAACGTAAACATATGTATTTGGCTCTTGAAACCTAAACCATTTATTTTTAATCATTTCCATACGATGACTACCATTACTACGAAGATTATTTTGTGTATTACTATTTTCTTTATCCTGACTAAAATTATGAAAAATAAATTAGTACCCTTGTTTTATAAAATATAATAATTATAATTATAATAATAATATGCCATAAAGATATTTACTTTGTCTTTGATTTAATTGTAAATAAAAATATTAGAAAGAATAAAGGCTCGGCCAACCCAACTGTAAAAAATACATGTAATGCACAAATAGCTCTAGAGTGCGATTCTTTTACTCCAAATATACCTTCTTTTGAACTCCACAAATACTCGTTACCCAATAACAAAAATATAACCCATATGAATGCTGAACTTGCGATCAATGTTCTTGATTTCCAATACTGATTAAATTCAATGTGTCGATTCTTTGTAATTATAGCTATAACACCAATTAAAAATAACAATACTACCAATGCAACAATAAATTCAATAATACCTAATATCTTGAGCCATTCTTCCATTTTTTTCTTTGTTTTTTATTTTTTCTATTTATTATTTTTTACAATTTTTTTATATATGATTTATATACAATGTGTGTTTTTTTTATTTGAATGTTATACAATCGAATATGTGATGAGGTGATGTGGTGATGAGATTTATATATATATATGTACAATTGTTTGATTTGGTATAGTAATGATTTTTGATACTGATTGAATTATTATCTATTATTATTACTGTTATTACTGTTATTATTATTTATACAACACATTCAAATACTATCAACTATTATATACTTTAAAAATATTTTTTTTTTAAAGTAGTTTTATTTTATAGAAAGATAACATTTAGATTTAAAATATATTTCTTTGAAAATAAAATTAAATAAAAATAACTTATTATCTTTTTTTTTTTTTTTTTTTTTATAATATGAAATTTATGTTTGTGTGTGAAAAAAATTTAAAAAAAATAATAAAAAAAAATTTAAAAAAAAAACAAAAAATTTTTTTTTACTTTACCGTTATGATTTATTTTTAGGTTATTTTTTGATTTTTGTTTATTAAAATACCAAATAATGTATTGTGAATTAATTACCATTTACTTTTTATTTGGATTTAATAATTAAAATTTTAAAAATCATTTAAAATATTTTTAATTTTATAATTAACACACACAAACCATATTTACATATTTATAAAAAAATAGAAATTAAAATTAAAAAAGAAATATCATGAGTTTTATAATAAACTAAAATTATTTATTTGTTTTTTTTTTATGACCTTTTTTAAAAGGAAATATCTATATAATATTTCTTTTTTGTGGTTTAAACGGCTGCTATGGCATCATCGATGTTTATATTGTAACAGTATTGAATAATACCTGTTACTGAAAAAATAGCAAATAAAAGTAGACCATGTGTTTGTTTGATTTTAGGTACGAAATATCCAATACCTGCTGCTGATGCGGCACAAATAGTTAATAATAATAAACTTAATGAATAGGTTGGTGATTCCCATTCAAAACCCTTGACAACACCAAAGAAGCAAAAGATCTGTAATGTATGAAATGAATAATGATTAATAGGCCTATCTTTTTTATATATAATTTATTAAATTAAACTTACACCCATTAATAAAGTTGTTTTTGTAATGGTACCACCAATTAAATTTGAAAATGCAATATTTATACTTTGGGAATTACCTTTTCGAGATAATGAAATGGACTCTAAAATTTCTGGCATTTCAGAGGCTATGGGTGCTAAAAAGAAGGCTAAAAGGATTGGATTAACCTCCCAAGAAGAGGCCAACGATACAATTGAGTCAATGAAAGGTTTACTGAAATAGCAAATTAAAAGACCACCTAAAAATAAATAAAATACACCTTTATAGAGTGGTTCGTCATGCTCTTCCTCCTCTTCTTCATGGTCCTCCTCTTCCTTATTATTGTCAGTGCTATTTGGATCGGCTCCATTTTGATTAATTCCCATTTCAATATCGTCCTCTTTTTTTTCATCCTCTGGTAATTTGTGGAAAAGTGAGTATCCAATAAATACTACATAGTAGAGTACTCCAATACATCCAAAAAATATGTTATAACCAGTTAATAAAATTGCCAATGGTATTATAATTGAACACAGTAAAATTAAACATTGTCTTTTGACTGGTGGTTGTAATTGAACTGTACCTGCTTTTCTCTTTCTTGTACCTAAAACTATACAGCATCCCAATGCAACTGTGCATACCACAATGCTACTACCGCTAACTGCTCCTACTGCAAATCTTGTATTATCGCTACTAAGTGCTGTTATAAAAAAAATTGCCTCTGGCGCTATAGTATAAAAAAATTTTAAATTAATAAAAATACACATTTACATGAATACTTGACTATACATACCAGTATTAAGCCATGCAATAATTAAGCCACCTATAATAGATGCATCATATTTTTTACCTAAAATTTCACCACCTTCACCTATACACCATGAAGCAAACGATAAAAATATAAATGATAAAAATGCTGTCAATACAGGAATCATTTTACACTTTATATTATATTTTTTATCAATATATCTATTTTATGTTTATATATATGGTAGTTATTATTATATCTTATTATGAAAAATAATATAATTTAAATCGAAATTAAAAATTGCTATACTATTTTATTATTTATTATTCTATGTGTATAAATTTGTGCGAGTGTGTGGTGTGTATTTATTTACAAAAATTTTATAAAAAAAAACAATTTTTTTTAAAAATGAAAAAAAAAAAAAAACAATTTGATTTAATATTTGTATATTAATTGATAGTACAATTCTGTAATTATATAAATATAGATAACAAAACTATTTAAATTAATTTTTGACCTAAGGAGTTTTTGAAAACTTTTTTTTTGTGAAATATTTCGTTTGAAAATTTAGATTTTGAAAATATAAAAAAATTAAAAATAAATTATTTTTTTATTTTTTATTTTTTTTTTTTTTTTATATATTAATATAAATAATTTTTATTACCAAAAACTCCATTTATTTCTTTTAATATTTTATTTATTTAATTACAATAATAAAATGCAAAAACGGGATTTAACCCTTTTGCAATCTTTTTTTTTAAAAAAATTATGTAAAAAGGGGTTTTTTATTTTTAATTAGCCCAAATATGGTTTTTTTTAGATATAACCATTCAAAATATAATTTCTTATCATATAATGTTTAAAAAAAAAAAATTATAATTAATTAAAACTTTTAAGTTTTAAAAACCAAATCTTTATTTGATTATGATTTACTAAAGAATTTAATTACTAAATATGACACAATGAATAAAATTAAAACAAAGACTATAATAAGGCAATAGTTTAATGTATCTCTTGTACTTCTTGATGTATAATCTTTTAAATTTTGATTTTGACGATCGATTTTTGAACTGCTAGTATCCATTAATTGATTAAGTTTATCTATTTTTTTATCTTCTTCGTTTAGTTTTCTAGACATATCACTTGAATGGTTTTTTAAATTTTTTGAAAGGCCTAACAACTCTTCTGCAAAATTCTCTTGAAGTTTTCTTTGCTCTTGAGTTCTTTTTTCAAAAGAATCCTCATCTATATCCTCCTCCTCTTCTAAATTTAGAAATTTGCTACCCCTGTCACCCAATAGAGATTTTAACTGAGAGTTTGTATTTTGAAATTTGTTTCTGTATTTTATAGTTGGTGATAATATGGATGCCGTGTTGTTTGGTGATGTTGTTTTTATGTAATTTACTGTAGTAGTTTGTTGTGGTAATGTGTTGTCACTATATGTATTTGAATTTGTATTTCTGAAACTGCTATATTCGTCGCTATTTATATTTGATCCACTACCTCCTGCTGTGGCATAGCCGCTATTATTTGGAATTAATAAATCAATTTTTTTTTGTTCTTGCTTGTTTCTAGTTTTCATAACGGTGTGAATTTCATTCATCTTTTTATTATGTGTTAAATTGCTTGCTTGTAAACGTATTATACTAGGTTTTGTAGAAATTGGTGAATTTAATTTGCCCTTATTAACTAAACCCACTATAACATCAATCTTTCTTGAATATTCATTTAATATCTCTTTAGTTAATTGAAAAGTGTCTTCATTTTCCTGTGGTGTTGTTGATTTAGGTGATGATAGGGGTGAGGATAATGTAACAGCTTGCTTTGCCATTTGAAATGGTGATTGTTGTTGCTGTTGTTGTTGTAATTGTTGTTGTTGCTGTTTAGTTTGTTCAGAATACTTTTCCTCTAACTGCATAAAAAGTGAAAGCATTATAGGTATATATTTCTCTACTGTAAATGTATTGTCGATAACTATAGGCTTCATTTCACCATCCCCATTTGCAACATTAACTCTATCATCTTCTGATATTATCTTTTCACAAGATGTTATTAATCTTTTTAAATTAATTTCAATTTTTTTGGTTTCGCTTATCATTATTTATTATTTATATTGAAAGTATACTATTATTATATTATTATTTATTACTATATTATATTATATCGATATTATGTTGACGGTGTATGATGATTTTTAAATTTAATAAACTAAAATTTTGAAAAAATGAAAAAAAAAAAATTTTATTAAATTTTTAAAAAAAAATAAAAAAATAAAAAAATAATTTAAAAATAAAATTTAAATTAATTTATTATTTTATCGAAAACACATCCATATTTTTTATTTAATTTTAAATTTTCTTTAAGGTTATAAATCAACCTTATTGATATAAATAGTTTTATTTTATATATCTATTTAAATTATAATATCCTTGTTAAAATAATAATTTACCAATCAATTTCGATCCAAATCTTGCTTTTTAGTTTAGTGGTGTGGATTTCCAATGTTACTTCAAGAAAACTAAACTATCAAAAAAAATGGGCAAGTAATTTTATTGGGTGCAATAAATACCCTCTCAATCTTTTCAAATGTTTAGAGACACCAAAACGGTCCAATAATCCCCACTCACAAAAATAGTATAAATAAAAAAAAAATAAAAAAATAAAAAAAACCTCCTATTATCTAAACCTATTTATTTATTTATTTAACCTTTATTTAATTATTTATTTAATTATTTATTTATTTAATTTTTATTCATTTATTATTTATTTATTTTTATTACATTTATTTTATTTAATTATATTATGGGTAACAGCTGCTATAAATAATATAATCATTTTATTTGTTTTAAAACAACACATTTAATTTTTTGGATACTGATTTTACAATAAAGATATTGTGACAATACACTAAATTTAGTTTTATCGAAAAAAATAGATATGTAAAAACTTAATGGTGTGTGAATATATTTTTTTTTAAAGTGGTTTCACACATTGTTCCAATTATTATAATAAATAATGAAAAATAATTGTTTTTAATTAATCAGTTTTACAAAACTGCAAACGATCATTTGGTGATTTAAAAAAATCAAAATAATTAAACGATTATAGAAAACAACAAAAATAACAGTTGGAAAAAAAATAAAAAAAAAATAAAAATAAATAAAAATAAAAATTTAAAAAAAAAAAATTTTAAAATGGGTCGAGGTCCTTGGTGATAAGGCCCCATAAAATATAAATTTTTGGGTTGTTTTTTTTTTACTATCCACTCAACATTCACAAAACTCGACTGAAACTATTTTTAGTTCTTCATAAATAAATTTCATTGGTTATTTTTTTTAAATATATATAATATCAAATATTTTTCAGATTAAAGCTTGTAATGATTGGATGTATCTTTTCATTTTTAAGAAAATCTTTATTTTATCGTTCCTTTGGTGATTATAATGAGAAAGTGGGTGCATTTTTAGCCACTGCAATTAAAAAAAAAATATAGTTATTTTGAAAAAAAAAAAAAAAAAAAAAAAAAGTTTTTTTGATAAAATTGTTTTTTTTTTTTTTCATTTTTTTATTTTTGTCTTGTTCTTTGTATAAATCTGTATTATCTATCCATATAAAAAAAACAAATACATAATTATTATTTAAATTGTTATTGTAAATAATTTTTTTAAAATATATATTTATTTATGTATAACAACAACAACAACTTTTCAATATTATAGATTCAATATATCAAACGAATTTTATAATAAAATAATCAATAATTAATCAATATTAATTTAATAAAATCATTTTAGAAAAAAAAAATTAATAAAAATAATAATTAAAATATAATAATAAATTTGTACAAGTCACCCATTTCGCACGACACATATACTATTCTCCATTAACAGAGTTTTTTTTTTTACTCTATAGCAAAAGTAAGTAATATTAATATATAATGGCTTTTTTTTTTTTTGTTGCAAATATTAAGATTTAGTGGTGTGTAAAAATATATCTTTTTTTATTTTTTATTTTTTATTTTTTTTATTTTTTATCTCAATCATTTTATTATAAAACTCCAAACCTCTGCGGTGCCCTATCTCAAGCACCCACAAAAATCACATTAATATTGTCAAAAAATTACATTAATTTAAAAATTTGACTTATTTTTTTAATGCCAAAAGCAAAATCAAGAAAATAATCGTATTATCGTCCGTATTAATCAAAAAAAAAAAATTTGAAAAAAAAAAAATAATTCAGATATTTTTCCAATCATACATTTAACTATTAATATTTTTGATTTATTTTTTTTTTTTTATTTTTTTTTTGGTGTGGCATTAACACAGTAATGGGGATATGCGCAGTTATTTTTTTTTTTTTATTTTTTTTATTTTTTTTTTTTTTTATTTTTTATTTTTTTTTTATTTTATAATAATAGGTTTTCAACTACTAAAAAAAAACTGAGACCACCAATCAATTTAAATTTAAACTGTTAATTTTTTTTTTTCTTTTATTTTTCATTGTAATAATATCATAATATCATTCTCTATCTTTGTGTATGTGTTAATTAAACATATTTATCTCAATAAACCCCAAAAAAAAAATAAAAAGATATTATAATTTCTTATTTTTTTTTAAGCACATTTTTTTATTTTTTTTTGATTTGTGTGTTTATTTTATTTTTTTTTATAAAAAATAAATAATTTAATAGGCTTTTGCTATTGTTAATAAAGAATAACTAAAATAATAATTATAGTTATTTTTGTATTATTTTTATTTAATTTTTTAATATTTATTTTAGATCTATTAGAAAAAAGTTTAAAATAAAAATAAAAAAAATAAAAATAAAAAAAAAAAAATTTCAAAAAAAAAATTACCGTTTTGCATTACACCTGTCACTTGTTAATCGTTTTTTGTATATAAAATTTTAATTGGATACATATTATTATTTCTTTTGTTGTGTTTACTATTCGTTGTTTTCTTTCATTGTTTAAACGTACTTTTAAATATTTTTTTTTTTTTGTTTTTTATACATTCCTTTTTTTTTTTTTTTTTTTTTTTATTTCTTTGATTTATTTATTTTATATTTTTAATGTACAATAAATAATAAATAGCTAAAATTATAATTGTTTATTAATTCCCTTTTTTTTTAATAAAATAGAATATTAGCGAAATAAAAGATTAAAATTTTAAATAATTTTTTTTTTTTGAAAATAATTATAAATTCATAATTATTAATACCAACAATACACAAACATATATAATAAAATCATTAAACTAATATATAATAATATAATAATATAATAATATAGTATATAATAAATAATATTATATTAAAAAATAATAAAAAATGATAAGCTTAAAAGTTATTTCATTTTTTATAATTTTTTTAATTGTAACACTTTGTAATATAGATTATAATGTACAAGCACAAGAGTCACCAAGACCAATCAGCAGGGATATGACCAGGCCATTTAGAATCGTTGTTTTAGCAACTGGCCCAGCTTCAGATTTAGGTTTTAATAATATGATCAATCAAGGTAGAATTGGTGTTTCAAAAGCATTAAATATCGAAGCATCAGAATACTATGTTGTAACAGGTGAAGAAGTTGATCCATTACTTAGAGATTGGGTTAGAGATAGAACTGTCGATTTTGTTATTTGTTCATCTGTTGAACATTCAACACCATGTTTAAATTTAGCTAAAGAATTTTTAAACACATCCCACACCTATTTCCTTGTTAGAGGTAGTGGTGCTGTAACCAATAACACCATTCAAATCACTTATAATTATGCTTCATCCAATTATATCAGTGGTTATCTTGCCGGTCTCGAATCTAAAACCAAAAAAATTGGTTTCCTTTCCCCAGGTGCTGCTGCTAACAATAATGATTCTTTCGTCTATGCCTTCTGGGTCGGTGCTAAACATGCCGAGCCAAATATCGAGTTTTACTACTACAATATTGGTTCCTATTTAAGTCCAGATGCCACTGTTCGTGCCACCGAAAGTCTTATTAACGATTATAAATGTGATGTCTTGGCTGATACACTTGATGATTTCTCCTTGGGTAACACTGTTATTGACGCTGGTTTAAAAGCTATGGGTACAAACGGTTTCCCACAAAGAACAGTACACGGTGAAAATGTATTATATAGTTATGCCTACAATTGGACCAAGTATTATCTTCCAATTACAAAAAATATTATGTACAATTTAGATCCAATCAATGCTGGTAATCAAATTCCAAACGCCAAATGGTATGCTGATTTCAACTCTAATCCTGATCAAAACTTTTTCGATTTAGATTTCAGTGTTTCAATTTCAAATGATACCAAAAAAGCAGTTCTTACCGAAGTAAAGAATTTAACAGATCACCAAAGAAAGGATCACTACTATTACTGTAACACATATCTTGCCAACTATTCCCTTCCATACAACAAAACAACAGGATGTATTTCTACTGCAGCTTTCTTCTATATCAATGCTCCATTAGAGGGTATGACATATTTGGGTTTATATAATATTTCAATTGACGAGGTAAGTCTAAATATATATTTATAGTTTTTAAAAATTAATATTAATTTTTTTTTTTTTTAAATTTCTTTTTTTTTTCTTACCTTTAGGTCAAACCAAGTCACTCTGTTCAATATTCAATTTCAATTGTATCTGGTATTTTAATGTTAATTGTATTATTAATGATGTTGGGTATCGGTATTTACAAGGATAATCCATCAATTCGTTCAGCTTCACCAATTTTCTTAAACTTTATCTTATTTGGTGGTCTTATTATTTATTTAGGTGGTATTATCTGGGTTAGTCCAGTTTCTACACATCAATGTAATGCCAGATTCTGGTTAGTTACACTCGGTTTTACAACTTTAATTGCTAGTTTAGTAGTTAAAAACGTTAGAATTTGGTTAATTTTCGACAATCCAGAATTAAAAGCAATTAAAATTACCAATTATCAACTTTTCCCATATGTTGGTGCTTTCTTACTTGTTAATGTTCTTTTAATGGGTATCTTAACTGGTGTCGGTGACTTAAGAATGGTTGAAGAAACTGGTATTGATGGAATCGGCAAATACGAATTCATGAAGGTTTGTAAAATGAACAGTCAAGGTGCTGCCACTCTTTACACTATTCTCGGTTACTTTGCAGCTCTTTTATTAGTTGGTGTTTTCGTTTCATGGAAGATTCGTATTGTAGATATCGAAGAGTTCAACGAATCAAGAGCTATTGCAAATACTCTCTATGCCATTAGTTTCTGTCTATTCGTTATCGTGCCACTTATGGTTGCTCCACAAGAAAAACAATCAGAAACCATTATTCTTTGCGTAGCTGGTCTCTTTATTACAACCGCAGCTTTAGCAATTCTTTTCGTTCCTAAATTCTACAGAGTATTCAAATATGGTGTACAAGGTACCAACGACATGTTCAAATCAAAGAAACCATCCAATGTAGCCACAGCTCGTGCTGAAAGTGCAAGCAAAAACTCACAAAGCAGTGGAACAAGAACTAACCGTAGAGGTAATATGATCGATGATTTCTCTGATGATTCTGAATCATCTGTTGCCCCACCACCAGCCAGCGTTCCAGCCACTGGTGTCACTGGTGCTACTATTTTAGCAGAATTCACCGATGATTCTGTATCAGATATCGACGATAACGAAACTGAGCCAATAGAAAATGATAATGAAGATTCACCACCATCATCAGCTCCAACCACCGAAAATAACTAAAACCAATAACAATATTTAATTTTTTTTAACAATATTTAAATAATCATAAAAACAACACCCAAACACTCCCCCCCATATTCACACACACAACAACAATTTTTTTGTAGATTATAAAATATAAAAATATTCACAATCACTTTGCGAACATAAATAAATAAATAATTCTATTATTTATTTTTTTTACATAAAATTTAAAAATAATAAAAATCATTTTTAAAAATCATTTTTAACCATAAAAAATATATATAGTATAAAACAACAAAAAAAAAAAATACTTTAAACACCATTCTATTTAAAATAAAATGTACAATTATAATTAATACCAAAAAAACAATAATTTATACTTGCCTTTTTTAATTTTTTGACTATAATTAAGATGTATTAGTATTAGTAGTTTTAGATATAAAAAATTAAATATATTTTTTTTATGATTTCCAAAAAGAACATATTTTGTGTGATCCACTCCATTTATATTTAATAAATTGAATTACAAGATATAGTTTAAAAATATATATATTTTTTATAAAAATTTATGGTATAGATTTGAATTTATATATTTATATAAATATGTTTACATATTCCAATTTATTTAAATTTTCCAATATTTATAAATAAATAAAAATAATAAATACAAAAAAGATATAATTTATATGAGATAAAATAAACTGTGGATATAAGAAAAAAAATATGAAAAAAAAAAATAAAAAGATAAAAAAAAAAACAAAAATATAAAAAAAAAAAACCAACAACAATACAACAACAGAAATAAAAAGAAAACGAACGATTTTTTAATCATTTTCATCTGTTATTTTTTTTTTAAAATTTTTTTTTTTTAATTATTTATTATTATTTTTTTCTTTTATATTTAAGTGAGCCATAGAAAAATAAAATCAATCCATGAAAGAGATTTTGACCTCGTTTGCTATGGTTGTGCTGTTGTATTTTTCTAAAGGATTGGCCAAGGCCCAATCTGTTTTTTGATTGGATACACTCTGTGATTAGGATATTTTGAATTTTGCTATTAAAAACTATGGTTTTTTTTTTTTTTTAATTTAAAATTTTTTTTTAAATTTTTTTTATTATTTTAATTTTTTTAATTTTTTTTTCACATATTACTTTAATAGCACGATTTTTTAATAACCACCCAAAGAAATTTATTCAGAAAACTCACAAAAATAAAATTCAAAAAAAAAATAAAACTGATAAAAACGATGATTGATGATTGTGTGGTTAATATTGAAGATATTAAATTAAATAATGATAATTTTAATAATAATATAGAGAATAATAATATTGACTATAATGATAATAATAATAATAAAAAAGTTATAGTTTTTACAGGCTCAACAGATGGTATTGGAAGATCTACTTTAGATGTTTTGGTTAAAAATAATAGTAAAGAATTAAAGTTTATTTTACCAGTAAGAAACATAGAAAAGGGTGAAAGGGTTAAAGATGAATTAAAGTTATTAAATCAAGATGCAGATATTACAATTATGAAAATGGATTTGGGGTCATTCGAGTCAATTAGAGGGTTTGTTAGAGAGTTTACTCAATTAGAAATACCATTAGATATATTGGTAAATAATGCAGGTTTGATGGCCACATCATACAGTACTACCATCGATGGTTATGAAACTACATTTGCAGTAAATCATTTAGGCCCATTTCTGTTAACCAATTTATTAATCGACAAATTAAAGCAAAGTGTCCATGGAGGAAATATCGTATTGGTTACATCGGTGATGCATGAAAGAGAGAAATTAGATTTTGATCAACTAAATGTTAAAAAAAGCAATTATTCATATGTTTCTGCCTATGGAAAATCAAAACTATGCAATGTATTGTTTGCCAGAGAGCTACAAAAGAGATTGGACGAGGAAAACCCACATAATAGAGTCAAAGTCAATTATTTGCACCCAGGCTCTGCTAAAACCTCGTTAAGTCGGGATTATGGTTTTTTTGTGAAAAATATTATACTACCAATAATATTATTTTTTATTTCCAATCCATTAAATGAAATGGCCAATAGCTTGGCTGCTTTGTCGTTAAATAAAAATAATGAAAAAGGAAAATACTTTTTTATTAACAAAGAAAAATCGCCATCAGGGTTTGCCAGTGACTTTAACAATTCGAAGAGGTTATATGATGAATCTTTAAAATTAGTTCAATTATAATTATAATAATAGTAATAATAGATGATAATAATTAATTATGTGTACAAAAATGTAAATATCAAAACCACCAACCAATCAAAAAAAAAATAAAAAAAATAAAACAATAATATATTTAAAAAATAAAAATTTTACAATAAACGATTAAAATAATCTGTTCTATTTTCTCTTTTTTTAATCTTGGGCAGCCAAGATTTATCAACCTTTTTTTTTTATAAAAAAAAAAAAAATAAAAAAAATATTTAAAAAAAATAAAAAAAATAAAAAAAATACAAAAGACTATTATTTTTTTTTTAGAAATCATTTTATTGGGCCCAATAAAAAATATTTATTTGCTTAATAACGCGCCTCGTACGAGTCTTTATTTTTTTTTTTAACATTAAATTTTTTTCATTGGCAAAATTTGCATGGGGGTGTCGTGTGTTATTGTTTTATCGTCTTTTGAAATTAATAAAATATTATTAATTATTGTTTTTGTGTGTCTTTGAACCAACGTATCATAGCAAAATAAAAAAGAGGTTATTATTAAATTATTCGACTAGTGCAAAGATTAATTGGATAGGTTCAATCAATCACTTTGATTATGATAATAAAAAAAAAAAAATCTCAAAACTTTAGAATCTATTCGGTTTTTTTTTTTTTTTAATTTTATTTTTTTCATTTTTTTCAGACCATATAATGACCATTTATATAAACACACTAAAATAATGGGCAACACAAGGGTTTAAAAAAGAACCAATTTTTAACTATAAAAATATCTTTTTTTTTTTTTTATGATTGTTTTAAAATTGATTATGAGAAATATATTTTTATTTTTTTTTTTTTATTTTTTTTTTCAAATTTAACCAATCAACATTCGACCAACTACTTCAAATCTTTTCTTTCGTATTTTTTTTATTATTTTTTTAATCCATTATCAACAGTTTTCTTTTAAAATATTAAGGGTTCATATGTGTCGATGATTAAATCAATATTGGGGAGTTTCTCCCAACCATACCATATACTGAAATAAATAAACACCCAAAAAAAAAATTTTTAAAAAATAAAAAAATTATTTGCAATTTTTTTTTTTATTTTTTATTTTGAATCATATGTGTTAACACCTATAGGTAGTTTTTTGTGTAGATCAATCAATTATTATAATAAATATAACAATTGTAATAATAGAAATAATAAAAATATTTTTACAAAAATAAATATTTTTTTATAAAATTTAAAAATAAATTTCATATTTTTAAATACAAATTAATATTTTATTTTCTTTTTTTTTTAAATTTTTGTAATATAATAATAAAATAAATAATAGTAATAATATCAATAAAATAATTGTAAATAATATATATAAAAATAAAATTATTAATATTATATCTACTTCAAAATATATAAAAAAATAAAAAAAAAAAAAAATGGAATTTAAAAAAATATTATTTTCATTTTTTTTTTTATTATGTATAATAGCATTAAATAATGGCGTTTTTGCACAGGAACCAACAAGACCGTTTAGATTAATAGTGCTAGGCTCAGGTCCATTTACTGATTTAGGTTTTAATAATATGGTAAACCAAGGAAGAATCGGTGTTTCTAAGGCTTTAAATATTTCAGATACAGATTTTTATAATATTAAAAGTCAAGATGATATGGATAATTTAGTAGAACCATTAGTAAGAGATGGATTAGTAGATTTTGTAATTTGCTCAAGTTTAGATGTAAAGGATGGTTGCGTATCAATTGCCACTCGTTATGAAAATACTTCAAAAACACAATTTTTACTTAGAGGTAGTTCAAAGGTCACCAAAAACACTATGTCAGTTACTTATAATTTTGCTTCAATAAATTATATTAGTGGTTATTTTGCAGGTCTCCAAACCAAAACAAATAATATTGGTTTCTTATCACCTGGTGTCACTGCTAACAATAATAATGACTCTTTTGTATATGCTTTCTGGGCCGGAGCTAAGCTTGCAAATCCTAAAGTTAACTTTTTTTATTATAATATCGGTTCATATTATAATTATGACAAAACTATCCGTGCCACAAAAGAGTTGATTGAGGTTTATAACTGCGATATCTTGGGTGATACTCTGGATGACTTTACTTTGGGCAATGTTGTTATAGATTCAGGTTTAAGAGCTATTGGTACCAATGGTTTCCCACAAAGAAAGGTCTATGGTGAAAATGTATGGTATGCTTACTCTTATAACTGGACAAAGGCATTCTTACCTTTCACACAAAGAGTAATGAACAATTTAGATCCATCCAAACCACACATCAATAATACAAACTCTTATATGGATTTCAGCTCAAATAAAGAAAATAGTTTTTTCGAATTAGACTTTGCTATTGACGTCTCTGATAATATCAAGCAAGAAATTTTAGATCACGTTTATAATTTAACACAAACTCCAAGAGCTTCACACCCATATTATTGTAACAAATTACTTGCCAATTATTCGCTCCCATACAATAAAACATCAGGTTGCATCTCTGCATCATCTTTCTTTTATATCAATGCACCAGTAGACGGAATGACATATTTGGGTTTATATAACATTTCTTTAAACGAAGTAAGTTTTTTCAGAAAATTTAAATTCATGATTTAATTTTAATATTAATTGTTAATTTTTTTATTTTAGGCTAAATCTTCCCTTTCAGTTCAATATGCTTTTTCAATTGTTTCAGGGCTTTTAATTTTAATGGTTTTGTTTATGATGCTAGGTATCGCACTTTTTAATAAAACTCCTTCAATTCGTTCAGCTTCTCCAATTTTCCTTGGTTTCATTTTAATTGGGGGAATGATTGTATATATTGGAGGTATAGTTTGGGTTAGTCCAGTTTCTACACATCAATGTAATGCCAGATTATGGTTAGTTACACTCGGTTTTACAACTTTAATTGGTTCATTGGTAATTAAAAACGTAAGAATTTGGTTAATTTTCGACAATCCAGAATTAAAAGCAATTAAAATCACCAATTATCAACTCTTCCCATGGGTCGGTGCATTCTTACTCATCAATGTCCTTTTAATGGGTATCTTAACCGGTGTTGGAGACTTAAGAATGGTTGAAGAAACTGGTATCGATGGAATTGGCAAATACGAATTCATGAAGGTTTGTAAAATGAACAGTCAAGGTGCTGCCACTCTTTACACTATTCTCGCTTACTTTGCAGCTCTTTTATTAGTTGGTGTTTTCGTTTCATGGAAGATTCGTATTGTAGATATTCATGAGTTCAACGAATCTAAACCAATTGCAAACACACTCTATGCCATTAGTTTCTGTCTATTCGTTATCGTGCCACTTATGGTTGCTCCACAAGAAAAACAATCAGAAACTATTGTTTTATGTACAGCTGGTCTTTTCATTACTACCGCAGCTTTAGCAATTCTTTTCATACCAAAGTTCTGGAGGGTACTTAGAATTCATAGTGGTGGTGAAAGCTCAAGCGATTTCTTCAGTAAAAAGAAATCATCAAATGTAGCTACAGCACGTGCTGAAAGTGCAAGTAAAGGTTCTCAAGGTAGTGCTAAAAGTTCAGGTAAAGTTAACCGTAGAGGAAATATAGTAGAAGATTTTACTGATGATTCAGAATCATCAGCACATAACCCACCATTAGCAAGCCTCCCACCTCCAGGTGTTTTAGAATTAACAGACGACAGTGCATCCGATATAGAAACCGATGTAATTGAAAATAATGAAAATACCCCACAAAACAACGAAAATGAAATGTATGGTGAATCCTCACCATCATCCCAACCAGATTCATTAACAAACAGTGAAAACCAAGAAAATGATGAAAGTAATCAAAAAAATTAAAATATTTATATAATAATAGCGCATTGTAATTTAGTAGTTAAAAAAAAAAAAAACTATTTTTTAATAATAGAACATATAACATAATAATTCCATTTATAGAATCGATCGAAAAACAATTTAAAAAACTTCATTGTAGAGTTAATTAAATAAATCAAAACAAAAATTAAAAATAAAAAACTAAAAAATATATTTAGTAAAATATAATAGTATTGTTGGGGCAGTTAACTATAGCATTTGCTCCATTTGAAATTAAAAAATAAATTTTTTTTTTTTTTTTATTACATTATTTTTTTATAACAATGAATAGGTTTTTTTAATTATTTAATATAAAATCAAGAAATAGATTTGATCTATTATTTAAAAAAAATGAATTTTATTTGAAGTTCAAATAATAATTTATTTTTTCAATTAAAAAAAAAATTTAATTTTTTTAAACAATTCTTAATTTATTTTTTAAAAACTTTAATAATTTTTTAATTTTATGAAATTTTTTTTTTTTTCAAATTTTAAAAATTAAAACTTTCAAACCACACACACTCGCCCTCAACTTAATATTTTTTTTCATATAATCCAATCATCATATAATTTTTTTTATTTTTTCAACAAACATATATCAATTCAAATATCATAATAATAATTTTTACAAATCAAAGCATATTATTAAAAAATGTTAGCTTTAATTATTATTATATTAATCTTTATTGGTTGCTATCATCTAGAACAATATATTTCCTATAGAAAAACCAAAGTTTATGATAGCGAAATTAAATTTCCTGGTGTTTATTGTGTACTAAAAACAACTCCAAATAAATTAGTACCAGAACCACTAAAACCAATACCAGTACCACCACCACAGCAACAATCACAACAATATCAATATCAACCACAACAGCCACAACAACCACCAAAGCCACAACAACCACAACAGCCACAGCAATCTCCATTCAGTTTTCGTGAAGCTACACCATTAAGTTACATATTTAAAAACGATATTAGGAATCGTGATTATTTATATAAATCTGCTAGCTCACCATTTTTTAGTAAAACTATGGGCCATTCATCACAAGTACCAACTCCACAATGTCAATATCAAGACAAATGGTATAAATCTATGGTTAATCGTTTACCCTTATTTGGTTCAAAAGGACGTCAAACTGAAGTCGTAGCCGCCCAAAAACGTTTAGATGAACGTTTGAAGCTTTACCAATTAAAAAACAATAAGGTGATCCCAGGAGATGGCAATTGCCAAATGCATTCTTTGTCCGATCAAATCTATGGAAATTTAAATCATAGTTCAGAAATCAGAATTGCTATTGTCCAGTGGTTAAGAAAGAATAAAAATTTCTTAATTCAAAATGGTGCAAATTTAAGTCAATTTGCAACTACTAATTGGGAAAATTATTGCAATAACATGGCAAGAGATGGTACCTGGGGTGACCATATAACATTATTTGCTGCAGCCGAAATTTTCAAAGCAAATATTTATATTGTATCATCGGTCGAGTCTCATAATTATTTTATTGAAATTGCACCAACTACTGTTATTGCAAATAAAACTATTTTATTATCCCACCAAGCAGAACTTCATTACGGTTCTTTGAGTAGGGTAGTATCATAATATCAGTTTTCCAATTATAAAGAGCTGCCATACATTCAAGTTTAGATTTTAAGAAAAGTTAAAAGGTAAATATATAAATTTTATTAATAAAATAAATAAACCAAATAAACTAATATTTTTTATTGTATGCATCTATTAGAATTTATTTAGGTATTGGCCAAACCGAAAATATTTATATTTTATTTTTTCATAATTAAATTGAAAATGTATCCAGCATCAAATACATGGAAATTAAATAGAAATGACAATGGTATAAAAGAGTTCTGAAAATTCAATTAAATAGGTAATAGTGCAGGCAATTAGTCTAATGATGGTTCATATAGTGGTTCAAATAATTCAAGTGGTAAGCTTCTAGTGGTAATTCAGGTGGGGTAAAGTAATCAAATTTTTGCAGATATTCGAAACAATTAAAGTTTTAGTTCATCAAGTTTTAAAAAAGATAAAGAGTTGTAAATAGAAATAAAAGAATAAAGAAGAAGTATAATAAATCTATTTAAATAGATATAATAATAATTATAATTAAAATCGAATTCAAATTATAGTCAAAGTCCAGTTTTATATGAGGGTTTTAGATACCTTTCATATGTTTTAAAAGAAATAAAATTAATAAAAAAATCGTTTTATTATATTATATTTATAATTTTTAAATAAATATAATATAAAAATATTTTTAAAAAAATTTTACAGGTCTTTAAATTTATACAAATATGGTAAAAAAAAAAATATCTATTTTTTTTAAATCAAAGGGAGTAAATTATGTGAATAACGAAAATTATAATATCATTATATTTTTATTATTTTTAAACCCTTTTTAATTTTTATTATTTGATTGTTTAAAAATTAATTTTTTTATTTTTTTTTTATTTTTTTTTTATTTTTTTCATTTTTTTTTTCATTTTTTTTAATTTTTTATAATTTTTTTTTAAAATTGAAAATCATTTCATTTTACTTTCGTAATATAACAAATATTTAATAAATTATAATATTTAAAAATAATAAAATAAATAAATAAATAATTTATATAAATAGGTTTATGGAGTCTGAAGGTAACAATACCGATAATAATGGTATTGAAAATCAAAGCACAACTAGTAGTAATGAACAAAGTGTAAATAGTAATAATAATAATAATAATAATAATAATGAAACTAAAGCAACTACACCATCGCCACCAACAGCAACCAAAGCAACAACTACACCATCACCTGTAGTCTCACCAACAGCATCTTCATTGTTATCATCACCAACTAATACATCATCTACAAATGCAGCTTCTCCATCAACTATAGCAACAGCTTCACCAAACACTACAGCTTCTACTACAACATCCACTACCTCTACTTCAACCTCAAATGTATCTCCATCAACACAGCCATCAGGACCATTGGCTATTTCATCATCAATGCCAGCAGTTGGCAAAAGATTGAATGTTCAAATTGAAACTTTAGAAAATAGAATTAATAATGATATGTATGATACAGAGGCATGGACTTTACTTTTAAATGAAGTACAATCCCAGCCAATTTCAATTGCAAGAGATATTTACCAAAGATTTTTAGCAGTTTTTCCAACAGCAGTAAGTTTTATTAGTTTTTAATAAAATCATTTAAATATATATTAATAATTATTTGTTTTTTAGGGTAGATATTGGAAATTATATGTTGAACAAGAAATGGCAGAGAAAAATTATGAAATTGTAGAAAAAATATTTTTAGAAAATTTAAGAAATGTAAAGAATGTCGAATTTTGGAAAACTTATATTAACTATATAAAACAAGTAAAGAGTGACAGTAATAATAGAGAGGAAATAATTAAAGCATTTGAATTTGCATTGGAAAGTGTTGGTATGGATATTTCATCAACATCTATTTGGACTGATTACATAGCGTTTTTAAAGGAAGAAAAAGCAACGACACCATTTGAAGAAGGTCAAAAAATGACAGGTATTAGAAAACTTTATCAACGTGCTATAGAGAATCCAATGCACGACCTCGATAACATTTACAAGGAGTATGAAGTTTATGAAAACTCAATTAATAAAACATTGGCAAAAGCATTGTTAGCAGATCATCAAAATCGATATCAACATGCCCGTAATGTTTATCGTGATAGAAAAGCTTTGCTCGAAGGTATTCTTAGAAACATGTTGGCAAAACCACCAAGATCATCAGATAAAGAAGAACATCAAGTAAGACTATGGAGAAAGTTAATTTCATTTGAACGTTCAAACCCTCAAAAATTTGATCCAGTTGTTTTAAGAAATCGTGTAGTTGCAACTTATAATCAATGTTTACTTTGTTTGTATCATTATCCCGATATTTGGTATGAGGCTGCTACATATCAAGCCGATAGTGGTAATGTTGATGGTTGTATTTCAATGTTTGACCGTGCCATTCAAGCTTTACCAAAGAATTTATTTATTCATTTTGCTTATGCTGACTTTTTAGAATCTCAAAAAAAAACTCAACAAGCTAAAGAAATTTATGAAAAAATCATTACAAATAATCCTGAACCATTAGTTTGGATTCAATATATGAAGTTTTCAAGAAGAACCGAGGTAAGTGTATTAATTATAAAAAAAAAAAAAAAAATTTTTTACTAATTATTAATTTTTTTTTCATTTAGAGAGTTGAAGGACCAAGAAAGATTTTTAAAAGAGCAAAATCAACACCAGAATGTACATATCATGTTTATATTGCATTGGGTTTAATTGAGTACTATATTAATCAAGATACTAGAATGGCAAGAGATATTTTTGAAATTGGTTTAAAGAAATTCCCAAATGAAATAGCATTTATTAATTTTTATATCGAGTTTTTAACAAATTTAAATGAAGAAAATAGTAAGTTTACAATTATATCATGAAAATATATATATTTATTTTTATCAATTAAAATATTAATAATTTTATTTTTTAGACACCAGAGTTTTATTTGAAAAATTATTATCAAACCAAGCTTTAGAAAAATCTGAACCATTATGGAAAAAGTTTTTAGATTTTGAATATAGACAAAATCAAGACGTAGCATCAATATTTAAATTAGAGAAAAGATATCAAGTATCAGTACCAAGTTCTGATAAGACAGGTGTATTACAAGCATTAAATAGATATAAGTTTTTAAATCTTTGGAGTTGTCACCCAACCGAAATTGAAATCATTACAAAGAATATTTTAGAGGATCATACAGGTACAGATCATCATAAAGATGTTGATAGTAAAGATGATACAGGAGCAGATGGCACAGCTAAAAGTAAACTTGGCAAAACAAGTAAAAAGGGTAAAAATAAAGAGGCAAAGAATCAACCAGTTGCTGCACCGGTTGAAACCAAATCAACCTCTTCAACTATTATTCCAGTTTCTACTTGGAAAGTTAAAAGACCGGATTTAACCCAAATGATACCCTACCGTAGTGAAATTGGTAAATTTACCCCATCATCAGTTATCCCATTAAATCAACAACAACAGCAACAGCAACAACAACAATTATTACAACAACAAAGAGGAAACATTCCAGATTTTATTGTATTTTTCTTACAAAACCTACCAAATGTAAACCAATTTAATGGTCCTTTTGTGGATCCTGATCAGTTAATAAATTTAATTAGAGATACCCCATTACCAGGTATGCAAAGTGGCTTTAATCAACAACAGCAACAAGTATTACAAAGACAACAACAAATGAATCAGCAATCACAACAGCAGCAGCAACAACAGCCACCTTTAAGAGCATCACCAACAATATCTCCTGAAAATATAAACCTTAACCCAACTACCAACGCTAAACCATCGAATATACACAAAAGAAAACAAATTGAAGAATCTTCATTGGAGGATGTTAATTCACCTTCAACTCTTCCAACATCAAATCCTTCCAATCAGACCCCAAGTGCCTCTAAAGCTCCTTCAAATGATATATACAGAAAGCGACAAGCCAATAAACTTTCTAAAAAGTCTTAATAAACAATATTTAATTTAACATATTAATGTGTTTAATTAAATAATATTTTGTAAAAAACTATAAATTATTTATAAAACTTTATTTTTATTATTTCTATTGTAATTCGAATTATTTTGTTTATTTTAATTTTTTTTTAATATTAAAATATGGTTAGTTTAAAAGTTAATTCACAAATTGGAAATCCATTTTGCCATTTAATCTTCCCATCACATTTGGTGCATTTCATTCCATAGAAATTCTCTCTACATGAACAGATACCACCATTACAATAACCATATGGAATGTTACAATTATAGTCGGCTTGACACTTCGAAGGTAGGCCATTATATTGGAGTATATTAACACATGTAGGATTACCATTTGACCACATTTCCACTCCATTACATTTGTTACATCTATCACCAGTATATCCATCTGCACACATACAGGTACCTAAATTCTTTGAGCCTTTGGAGTCGTATAAAATTGATGATTGCTTGGTTTCTACATGAATTTTTTTAACAACACTATTTGTAATATAGTAAATTGTTTTTTGAGACTCTACAAAATAAATAGAATCTGTTGGATCTTTTGTGATGAAAGTTAGTGATGAAGATGGGTTATCAAAACTAATTTTAGCAATACCAGAGTCAATTGTTGAAAAATAAATGTTATTATTAAAAATAAACATATCGTTGGCAATACCAGAATAGTTGTAGAAAGAGGTAAAGGTTCTTTTACATAGAGGGCATTCGGCAGATCCAATAAAAAAGTTTGTACGGGTACCATCTTCGATTGATGCGAATATTAGATTATCTTTTCCTAAATTTTCGTTTTTAAATTTATTTGAAATACCTATGCATTGTCTCGTTTGATTTAAAATCACGGCACCTGCACTACCACTTCCGTAGAGGTCATCTTGAGTTTTAATAATTTTTGGGTATACATTAACATTGAAGTCGCATGTGTAAGTTAATTGATTTACCTCGTCGAAATAAATGGCCAAAGAGTAGCCTCTGGGATACCAAAGTGGTGTCAATGTCCCACCATGAAAGTCATTAGAGTAGATCCCAACAACAGTGGAAAGTCTCTCGGAGCTTTGGGTTAATAATAATTTAGATTTTGGAAGATATTTGAATAGTTGAATGGTATTTCTAAAACCACTGCCAACGGTAACATCGCTTTTGATGCTATATTCGTTTATAATCAACCCCCCATTTGTGGGTATAGAAGCCACGGAAACACTCCCATATGTAGTATCGGACGAATTGAATTTTCCCATTAATAAAACTTTATTTGACTCCTCATCAACAGCAATACCCTTTATTAGATTAATCTTGTTGGCGCATATCGTGTATGGAACATTCCCGCACTCCCATGATTGTTCGCAGAGATTTGCTGAATATATTAATTTAAAATTTAAAAATAATATTATTAAATTTATTATTATTTTCATTTTTCTTTTTTTTTTTTAATTTTTGTAAAATGGTATTTGGTAGTGTTAAATTTTAAAAACCCATACACTTTACAAATTATTATTTAAATTTATCTTTATTTTTTTGTTTTAAAAATTAAATTATTATTTATATATTTTTCAACAAAAAAAATTATTATTTATATTTTTTTTTTTTTTTTTTTTTTTTTTTTTTTTAATTATATTTATTTTATTAAATTATTTGTTTTTATTTATTTTATTATTGTTAATGATGATGCTTTCTATTTAAGTTTTTTTTTAAAAAAAGAAAGAAAAGCCTACCTAATATCGATAAAGTGTAATAAAATTTAAATTTAATTTAAATAAAATATAGAAATAATAATATACATTAATGTTAATTTTCTATTTATATAAATTGTTTTTGTTAAATAAAGAAAATGATTAATTTTATAACGTGATAGAGTTGTGATATAATTTAATGTCTGTGTGTGCGTGTGTTTAATAATATTACTATTATCATTATTATTTAGGGTTGGATGATATTACCATATTGAATATCATTTAAATAAATAATTTTTAAAAAAATAAATATAAAAAGAAAAAAAAGAATAATAACTACACCCTCTATAAATATGATATATTGATCGGGTAAAATATTGGTGTTTTAGAGCTAAGAGTGAGTATTTGATGTAACAAAAAAATAAAACTATATGTAATTATGTGTGAATCATGTAGATGTGTGGGTGTGAGTATTTGAAAAAAAATGAAAATGTTTTATTTGTTTTGGGGGGACTATATATATATATATATAGATAGAATTTAAAATAGTTTAATTAATATTTAACATTATACTTATAAGAGTAATGCAATATAATAACTATATTTGTGAGTTGGTGTGGGTGTGGTGGGTGATGATGGTGAAACTTTAATAAATAATTTATTTAAAAAAAAAAATTAAAAAAATTAAAAAAGGGGGGAACAATACTATTTAAATTATAACAACAATTGAATATTTTTATAATAAAAAAATTGAATTTGAGTGTGGGAAAAATTTCATAGAACCATTTTAATTTAAACACAAAACAATAGATTTTGAAAACTGAAATGGAGTATTCAATGATAAAAAAATTAAAATCATACTCAAATATGTTAATTTGAACCTATAACGTAATAACACAACTATAAATTTTACAAAGATTTAATAACAACACATTTTCGTTTAAAGAATTTCTTTGATTTTTTTTGGTTAATTATAAAGTGTAAATATATCTTTTTTCTTGTAAATACAAATGTAATTGAATGTGTTTGTGCATGTCAGTGTGTTTGTGTAATTTTTATTATGTTATTTAAATTTAAATTAAATTTTAATAAACAAATTTAACTGTTTTTACTTTTTGATTTATTTTTTTCCTTTTTTTAATTTTAAAAAATATTTAAAATAATTATGGCATGCGCTTTATTTAAAATGCTTTTAAATTTTTCAAAAAAAAAAAAAAACAATTATAAAAATGAAAATAAAAAAAAAAAACAATTATAAAAATGAAAATAAAAAAAAAAGTGTGTGGTGAATGATATTAATAGATAAATCTTTTTTTTTCGAAAATTTAAAAAATAAAAAACAAAACATATTGTGAGGACTAATTTAATATAAAAATAACAACATTGGAACAAATAAAGAAATAAATAAAATGGGACTTTAAAAAATATTTTTAACACATATTATAATTATTTTTGTCATAAAAGACAAAGATTTTTTTAAATTTTTTTAAATTTTTTTTTTTTTTTAAATTTTAGAATTTTTTAACTGATATATAATCAATTTAAAATGAAAACATTAAAATATGATTTTTATATATTAATTTAGGTTTTGTTTGGTCTAATTTTAAAAAATAAATATGAATGGCAAAACAATTTATATACGGTTCTATTTATATTTATTTATTTCTATATATTACAATCTGTTTCTATATTTTTATTTTGTTATTGAGATTTATTATAATAGCTCTAAATTAATTTTTATTAATATAATTACTTTCTTTAAAGTTAATTTTACAATTTGGGGTTCTATAAAGAACTTAATTGATCATAAATGTATTTAAATTCATTTTTTTTAATATTTATTATAATAATAAAAATCAATTATAATAATTTAAAAAAAAAAATTAAAAATCTTTATTTTTTTTTAAATTTTTTTTAAATTTTTTTTTTAAATTTTAATAAATTTTTTTAATTTTAAATTTTAAATTTTTGCGTATTATTTGTTTTTCTTGAAACACACCCCATCTTCCACAGGCGGACACCACTAATACTTATTATACTTTTTTTTTTCCTATTCTAAAAACATAATAAAAATTAATATAAATCTATTTTTTTGGTGTTAAATTTAAAATTTCATAAATTATATATATAAAAAAAAAAAACAGTAATAACAAAAAAAAAAAAAAAATGAATAATAGTAATAATTCAGGAGTAGTTAGAGTACCACAAAAATTCAAATTTGAATTTGATGTTAATATCCAAGAATGGAAGGCAAATAATAAAAGCTTATTATTACTCACATCAAGCGAAATAAGAGAAATCATCAGCTCCCATGGTTACGATTTAAAGTCTTACTTTTATAAAAAAGATGATCTTTTAAACAAACTAAAGGATATTTTAAATGGTACCAGTAACAATGGTATGAATGGTGGTATTTCCATTAGTATCAACAGTAGCAGCAATACAACTCCAACCATCTCACCAAAACTAACCAGCAGTAATAGTAATATTAATGGTCAATATAATGGAAATAGTGCAAATATTATTAGTAATAGTAGCAATATCCAATATAGTAATAGTAGTGTGCCATATTACAACAATAGCAATAATTATAATGGAAACAAACGTTCCATTGAACAAGTTAGTGATCCATACGAGCTACAAATTGCATCTGATGATGAAAACACAAGCAGTAGCGGTAGCACAAATGGTTATAACAATAACGGTAACAACTCCAATGGTGAATATCAAAACATTGAATATAATAATTTGCCACCAAAGAAAAAGTTCAGCACCTCACCAACCAATACATCAGCCCAAACCTCCACCAACACCTCACCAATTCAACAACCTTCAACCATCCAATTATTTAAAACCAGCAGTATTACTCAAACAAGTTCAAATGTATCTGGTGGTAACAATTTAACCTCGCCATCAGCTAGCTCCACATTAAATGTCTCTACCACCGGGATTAATACACTTAGTAACCTTAGCCTAAGTGCTAGTAGTAATAACTTGAGCACTTTGGCAAGCTGTAGTCTTAATAATCTTAACAATAACAATAGTAGCAATAATAATAATAACAATAGCAATAACACATGTAATGGTAATAGTAACAATAATAATAGTAACAATATAGTTGTAGATAAAAACTCTGTCAAAAGAGCACTAGAATTAGAACAAAGAATTTTAGGTAGTTTCAGCTTTTATTTTATGATGAAAAAATTAGATTTTTCAAACGACTTTTCATTAAGAGTTCAAGAAGAATTTGTTAGATTCATTGTATTAAAAGTTATGGATAATGACCATGGCTGCGATGGATTCGGTAATCGTTTGGTTCCTTCACCAATAATCGATAGTCTCTACAGAGAAATCATTTTAAACACAATCAAACACAAAGAATTATTAAACTTGATCAAACTCGAAATTCACTATCATTCTGGTCACAATGAAACCTCACAAGATAAAGAGAAAAAGTATCAAAGAACCCTCACCCTCTACAGCTTGTACTTTGGCAAAAACAAAAACTCTGACAACGAAATCATATGGCCATCCACCTACAGCTCCAACTACAACAGCGATGAAGCTTTAAATCAAAAAGTCAAATCACTTAAATCAAAAAATAGAGAAAGAAAATTAAAAATTGAACAATTGGAAAAAGAAATTTTAAACTTAAAATCACAATTAAATAATGGTGCTATTGAAGAAGAACTCGGCAATTTAAATAATAACAGCAACAATAATAATGAAAACAACAATTCAGAAAAAAATAAAAATAACAACGATAACGACATAAAAATGGAAAATGATGAAATTATTGAAACAATCCCACCAAGTAATGAAAATTATGAAAATAAAGATAATGAAAATTCAATCTCCACCATCAATGAATAAAAATAGCAACCCACAAAAAAAAAAAAAAAAAACAAAAAAAAGAAAAAAACACCCACCCCCCACAACAACATTACCAATAACCAAAATATCAACTTTTAAAATTTTTTTCCAATTTTATTAATTAATCTTTAAATGGTGGTTAATTATAGTTGTTATTAATTAAAATCAAAAAAAAAAAAAAAAAAAAAAAAAAACAACCCCAAAATAAATTAAAAAAAAAAAAAAAATAAATTTCTTTTTTAAATAAAAAAAAACCAAATAAATTTATTTTCATTTAAAACCAGATTTAAAAAAATTTTTAATTTGGATTGGTTTTTAAAACGGGGATTGGGTATTTCAACCAAAAATTTTTTGGGGGTTTAAAACCAATTTTAAAAAATTAAAGACATAAAAAAAAGAGATTTGGAAAAGAAAAATTAAATTTTTTTTTTTTTTTAAATTTAAAAATAAAATTTTTTTTTT